GAATTGACACCAAAGAAGGATGTTCTTCTCATTATAGGGGATTGGAATGCTAAAGTAGGAGTCAAGAGATAAAAGGAACAACTGGCAAGTTTGGCCTTGGAGTTCAAAATGAAGCAGGGCAAAGGCTAATAGAGTTCTGCCAAGAGAACAAGCTGGTCATCACAAACACTCTTTTCCAACAACACAAGAGACGACTCTACACATGGACATCACCAGATGGGCAGCATCGAAATCAGATTGATTAGATTCTCTGCAGCCAAAAATGGAGAAGCTCTATACAGTCAGCAAAAACAAGACCTGGAGCGGACTGTGGCTCAGATCATCAGCTTCATATAGCAAAATTCAAGCTTAAACTGAAGAAAGTAGGAAAAACCACTGGGCCAGTAAGATACAATCTAAGTCAAATCCCTTATGAATACACAGTGGAAGTGAGGAACAGGTTTAAGGATTTAGATTTGGTGGACAGAGTGCCTGAAGAACTATGGATGGAGGCTCGCAACATTATACAGGAGGCAGCAACGAAAACCATCCCAATGAAAAGGAAATGCAAGAAAGCAAAGTGGCTGTCCAACAAGGCCTTACAAATAGCGGAAGAGAGAAGGCAAGCAAAATGCGAGGGAGATAGTGGAAGATACAGGAAATTGAATGCAGATTTCCAAAAAATAGCAAGGAGAGACAAGAAGGCCTTCTTAAACGAGCAATGCAAAGAAATAGAGGAAAACAACAGAATGGGAAGAACTAGAGATCTGTTCAAGAAAATTAGAGATATGAAAGGGACATTTCGTACAAAGATTACCATAATAAAGGACAAAAGTGGTAAGGACCTAAGAGAAGCAGAAGACATCAAGAAGAGGTGGCAAGAATACACAGAGGAATTATACCAGAAAGATATGGATACACCCCAGGTAGTATGGTTGCTGACCCTGAGCCAGACATCCTGGAGAGTGAAGTCAAATGGGCCTTAGAAAGCACTGCAAATAACAAGGCCAGTGGAAGTGATGGTATTCCAGCTGAACTACTTAAAATTTTAAAAGATGATGCTGTTAAGGTGCTACACTCAATATGCCAGCAAGTTTGGAAAACTCAGCAGTGGCCAGAGGATTGGAGAAGATCAGTCTACATCCCAATCCCAAAGAAGGGCAGTGCCAAATAATGGTCCAACTACTGCACAATTGCACTCATTTCACACGCTAGCAAGGTTATGCTTAAAATTCTACAAGGAAGGCTCAAGCAGTATATGGACCGAGAACTCCCAGAAGTGCAAGCTGGATTTAGAAGAGGCAGAGGAACCAGAGACCAAATTGCAAACATGCGCTGGATTATGGAGAAAGCTAGAGAGTTCCAGAAAGACATCTACTTCTGCTTCATTAACTATGCAAAAGCCTTTGACTGTGTCGACCACAGCAAACTATGGCAAGTTCTTAAAGAAATGGGAGTGCCTGATCACCTCATCTGTCTCCTGAGAAATCTCTATGTGGGACAAGAAGCTACAGTTAGAACTGGATATGGAACAACTGATTGGTTCAAAATTGGGAAAGGAGTACGGCAAGGCTGTATATTGTCTCCTGCTTATTTAACTTATATGCAGAATTCATCATGCGAAAGGCTGGGCTGGATGAATCCCAAGCCGGAATTAAGATTGCCGGAAGAAATATCAACAACCTCAGATATGCAGATGACACAACCTTGATGGCAGAAAGCGAGGAGGAATTAAAGAACCTTTTAATGAGGGTGAAAGAGGAGAGCGCAAAATATGGTCTGAAGCTCAACATCAAAAAAATGAAGATCATGGCCACTGGGCCCATCACCTCCTGGCAAATAGAAGGGGAAGAAATGGAGGCAGTGAGAGATTTTACTTTCTTGGGCTCCATGATCACTACAGATGGTAACAGCAGTCACGAAATTAAAAGACACCTGCTCCTTGGGAGAAAGGCGATGGCAAACCTAGACAGCATCTTAAAAAGCAGAGACATCACCTTGCCAACAAAGGTCCGTATAGTTAAAGCCATGGTTTTCCCAGTAGTGATGTATGGAAGTGAGAGCTGGACCATAAAGAAGGCTGATCGCCGAAGAATTGATGCTTTTGAATTATGGTGCTGGAGGAGACTCTTGAGAGTCCCATGGACTGCAAGAGGATAAAACGCATCCATTCTTAAGGAAATCAACCCTGAGTGCTCACTGGAAGGACAGATCATGAAGCTGAGGCTCCAATACTTTGGCCACCTCATGAGAAGAGAAGACTCCCTGGAAAAGTCCCTGATGTTGGGAAAGATGGAGGGCACAAGGAGAAGGGGACGACAGAGGACGAGATGGTCGGACAGTGTTCTCGAAGCTACAAACATGAGTCTGACCAAACTGCGGGAGGCAGTGGAAGACAGAAGTGCCTGGCGTGCTCTGGTCCATGGAGTCATGAAGAGTCGGACACGACTAAACAACTAAACAACAACAGCATACAGTGGTGCCTCGCAAGACGAAATTAATCCGTTCCGTGAGTCTCTTCGTCTTGCGGTTTTTTCGTCTTGCGAAGCACGGCTATTAGCGGCTTAGCGGCTATTAGCGGCTTAGCGGCTATTAACGGCTTAACGGCTTAGCGGCGTAGCGGCTATTAACGGCTTAGCGGCTTAGCAGCTTTAAGAAAAAGGAAACAAACTCGCAAGAACTCGCAAGACGTTTCGTCTTGCGAAGCAAGCCCATAGGGAAATTTGTCTTGCGGAACGACTCAAAAAACGCAAAACCCTTTCGTCTAGCGAGTTTTTCGTCTTGCGAGGCATTCACCTTGCGGGGCACCACTGTAATCTCCATGGAGTTACCCCTGGAAGTGCAAGCATGAGAGACAAGATTTGTATATTGTATCAGCAACAATATCAGACGTTAGCAGGGTTCCCATTAAGAAGATCACACGTGTTGTTTAACGTGGACACAGCCAGTGGAAGTGTCAGGAGAGGGGAAGGATTTGTATTTTGTCAACAGCCACAGTAATGGTGGCAAACTTACGCAGCTTCTCCAGCAGAGGCAGAAGGGAAGATGACTATCATTTCCACAGCCAGTGCTCCTGAAAATACTAATTGTCCGCAGAGTGACTCGAATATGCAAAAAACACAGTGTACTAATAACTAACATGTGTAGTTTCAGTAAAGTAAATTAATAACAAAATGAAATTGCCACTGTTCCAAGAAATATGATCTCACTTTGCAGTTATTTTAGCTGAGCAATCTTTGGCAAAGGATACAGAGTTTGATAAAGTGATCAACTCCAGGGTTTTTTTTGGAAATGAAAGGTGGTTAAAAAATATTATTAACATCATAAATGCAACACTTAATATGTGTGGGACTACCCTGGTGAATGTAAATTTGAATACTGAAGACATCTTTGGCATGTGATGTTGGTGCTTTTCTGTTAGTATAGTTTGCCATACCAAAATAAATATCCCAAGCTCTATAATTGGAAAGATGTATTATTTAAAATGGACATGGTTGAATATATGCCTCACTTCTATTTTAACGAGGTTTAGATTTAGACTCCCTTTAGATGTTATATTATCCAGCAAGCCTAATGGTGCCCTTTAGTTGTTCCTTCGCTGGTTTAAAGTCTGGTTTAAAGACAATAGACATCCGGGTTCAACTGGATCCTGTGGAGATAGGTCATCAGGCATGATCCCCTTTCTCCCTCCATGAGTTTAGCTTTTACCATTTCACCATAGACATGCTCCGCATGAGGCTACCTTTGAAGGTGACTTGAAAACTACAGTTAATCCAGAATGCAGCTGCTAGACTGGTGACTGGGAGCAGCCAGCCGGACCATATAACAGCAGTTTCCAAGCACAATTCAAAGTGTTGGTGTTGACCTTCAAAGCCCTAAATGGCCTCGGCCTGGTATTCCTGAAGGAGCATCTCCACCTACATTGTTCAGCACAGACACTGGGGTCCAGGTCTGAGGGCCTTCTGGAGGTTATCTCCCTGCAAGAAGTGAAATTACAGGAATCCGGAAAATGCCTTTTCAGTAGCTGTACCCACACCTTGTGGAATGCCTTTCTGGCAGATGCCAAAGAGTTAAACAGCTATAATTTTTTTTATAAACATCTGAAGACAGCCCTGTTTCAGAAAGCTTTTCATGTTTGTTTCCCCCCTGTATTTTTCTTGGAAGCCACCCAGAGTGGCTGGGGCAACTCAGTCAGATGGGTGGGGGTATCAGAAATATGTTGTTGTGGATGTGTTCATCATATACTGGGAATGAACTTCCTGCAGTCAGTTTATATTTGGACAGATGTTTCACTGTCCATTGATACTGCCATTATCTTGCCTTTCTCCATTTTCAAAGTCTTTCCTTCAATTAAAAAACCCTTTATGGGAGTTTGTTCATATTCACCCTTGGCACCTCTTCTGGTTCCTGTTCTCTTCCAGAGCCCTGACAGTGTCACAATGAGAGGCTTCCCAAGATTCTGCCTGTCCTTTGCATGCAGTTTCAACATTGCCAGCATGAGTGGAATACATATTACGGCAATTACACACACTCTTCTTCAGACCTGCCTCCACCTCCCCCACAATAATTTGGCTTCTTTCTTCAATATGAGGACTTGTTACTCTTTAGAGCTGTAGTTTGGCTTATCCATTTCAGTCTGCAGTAATTTATTTATGAAAGTATTGCTTCGTTGGTTCTGACATAACTTTTATAATAGATTCCCACCCCCCTGTGATGCTTCTCTGGCATTGTTCATGTTTTGAGATCATATTTTTATTTTTATGTTATGTTATTTTGATTTATTTTACAGGTAGATATACAATTATAGTTAATTGATTATAGATAATTGATTACTAGCAGTTTGCTGTTGAGGAAAAGGAAATATTAAAAGTTATCCTTTTGATCCATGACTTTGACCGATACTTTCAAATAAGCATTTTTATTTTCATTGGCATACTTTAGACACCAGTGTAAATGCAGTTTGAGTAGATCAGAGCTGTGCCTTTGTTGCAGAGCTAATAATTAGCATGTAGATTCTCCTAATGCTTTTGATAACAGGAGGAGCCTTTAAAAAAAAGAAAAGAAAAAGAAAAGGTGTTTTCAAGGAAGGACAAAATATAGGTTAGTGTATTCAGGTCACAGCACTGACAACCCAAATTGTTATCCAACAATTGCTGTAAGTATATGGCAGGCTCTTACATGTACCCTCCTAGATAGTGGTCTCCCCTATTTGTTTGTTCTTTAACAGTAATAAATATTCTGTTCATGTCATGCTAAACAAATTTTAGGAGGAAATCTACATCCATATGCCAGTCCCTAGGCCATTTCTCAGTCCTGATCCAAGCTCATAGCATCTCCTAATGGGTTTTGAATTTCTTTCCAACTTACTCCAAATGGCAGAATGCATTTTTCCTTTTGTTTCATGGAGGTTCACACAGGAGAGTATTTGACCTCCATATAGTATATTACAAATCCCACTTAACAATTTCATAAATGAAGTCTAGAAATTTGTGAAGCTGGCCAACTGAACTGAACTAAGCCTCTTACTGACTCAGTTCATGTGTAACAACTAACCATGGTTTGATGTCCTGGCATGTTAACTTACTGTGGTTCCTACAAACCACAGTTTCCTGTATTCAGATAAAATAGGAAACTGCTGCTTATAACAAACCAGGTATGGAAGATTTAATTCTTAAATGCAAAGGGAAGGGAGAGTATGCAAGCTTTAGTGAAGTAATCACTAATGAGCTCAATGGGACTTACACCCAGAGAAGCATGTATAGGATTGCTTCCTTAACTGGAACTTAAATCTGTTGAAAACAAAATGCTGAAATGCCAAACAGCTATTGGATATGGAAGATCAAGATAAAGTGTATTTAGCTTTGTAGTTCAGGCTTCAAGTGATTATTGTCTTATACATACTATCTAGGGGCTCATATACCCTGTCATATATGGATCTATGTTTAATATCAGACTGTCATTTTACAACATAAAGCTGACCTGTTGGTTAAGTGGCCTTAGATTGACATACAACGCAGCTGACTCCAGGATAGTGAAAACCTGACAAGAATCTAGGAGTACAGAATCTAGGAATTTGCCTGGAGCCTTGGGTCTGCACAAACTGTTGCCTCGGGTAAACAGGTACTGTTAACTATTTATTGCTTGCAGGCAGTTTTGTTATGTGTTAAGCAAGAGGTTATGAAACTTGGAAAGCTGACTCAAGTTACTTTGTAATAATCTTGTATCTATATTTGTAAGAAATGGATATTATTTCCTTAATCTTCCTGTTCATATTCTTCAAGATGAAAATCCCTGCATAAAGTTCACCCAAATTTCCCCATAATCATTTAAATACAAGGTGTTAATGGGTGTGGTGCATTGCTTTGAAATAATTTGCTGATTATTATTTTTTGGGAGGTGTTTTTTTCAGTCCCATTATTAGAACTTCAGAGCAGATTCATAATGCCGCTGTGAATGCCAGTTAAAATATAACATCATGTATCCACAGTAGGAATGGAAGGGACTGTCATTTTATGTTCTCTTGGTTTCACATTTTCCTAATCTTAAATTCAGTTCTCTGCATTTCTTCAGGAATCTGCATTTTTTCTACATCTATCTATCTATCTGTCTATCTATCTATCTATCTATCTGTCTATCTATCTATCTATCTATCTATCTATCATCTATCTATCTATCTATCTATCTATCTATAAATCCTAATGAAAATTCATCTTCATTTTGGTGCAGATTTCTCCTAATAAACACATTTTTGTATGCAGTTTTTACAAACGTACACATTTTTTGCAAAGCAGTTACCTCCAATATAATACATTTTTGTGTGTTATTTTCACAGATGTATTCAATTTTTATTCACACTTTGCCCTGATATATGTATTTATGAAAACATTTTTGGTTGGTTGGAGAACCACCTGGCGAAATTCAGAAAAGTGTGCATTTCAAACGATGGCTGTGCTTCAGTTCTGATACTGTTTGGGGAAGTGCAAATTTGCTAGATTCACCTTTAGATGCAAACTGAATTGAATTCCTCCCCCATCCGTAATCCACAGGAGCTCTTTGCAGTCATCCCTGATCACTGTGGATGCCAACTGGATCAATAGTCTTCCACTTAGAGAAATAACCTCTGTGGCTTCTTCAAGGGTGATCCCATGCCCTGCATCCTGAAGTCTGTCGGATCCTGCAGCTTGGAGCAATGGCACATTCATGTCATATGCACCCAAAGGAATATTTCCAAACGACTTCTTTTATTGGAGTGGAGTAGTTGGAAATCACACCTGATACAGTGATATCAATAAAAATGTATTGACTCCTTCTTACTGTTTCAGCAGCTTGTTGTCTTGGACTCATTCTTTTTTGGATGTAATCTCCTTGGGACTTTCTTGAGATTAGAAGAATCATAATATTTATATAATTATTTATTTTTTAATATTACTATAGAATTTTACAGGTGGGACTTATAACAACAACAACAAAAAATGTTATGGAGTGCTCCTGTTTAGGTTTCTAGTCAGCCAGCCATATCTTCTTCAGTTACGCTTCATTCTGGTCCCCATTCCTCCATAGTTTTCCATTTCGCCATCAGCACTCTCTGACCAAAGAGCTTGGTTAGTTGACCTTGGGTTTTGAGTTTCTCCCTGCCCTTTGAGGTTCCTTGCCCCCCTATTAAATATTATTTGTGCTTGTCCTGAGCATGCTCAGCCCAAGCAGCACAGCTGCCCCATGGTTTACTTCTTTATTGACAAAGTATGAACTTACAGTAGCTCCTGAGGTGCACTAAATGTGCGCGTGCACACACACATACACTCTCTTTCTCTTCTGGTGGCTAGGCAACTGATGCCCCTCCCTGGGCTTGTGCTGGAGCAATGGATGGTTGGAGCAATGGGTGGCCACGCCTACACCCTCATCTGACGGTGTGAGTGCAAGCTTCCTGCAACTTCTACATGCAAGTTGTCACTGTGCCTGCCTTTTCAAGCCCCTCCTGTTTCTAGGGGACAGTGGGGGAGAGGACAGAAGGGATCCTGCTGCCCCCTCCCTTCAGGCACCATCTCTCAGCTCCTGGTGCGACATGGCCTTCTTGCAGCTCCAGCTCCAGTCCTACGTCCTGCACCTCCTCCCTTGTCTCTGACTGCTCAGACCCCTCCCCATCCTCCAGCTCTGGTTCCTGTCTCTCGGGAGGCACAGGACCCCTGCCATCTTCCAAGTCTTCTGAATAATTTTCTGTCTTCTTCTGCATGGTTACATAGACAATATTCAGAAATGGTGCCTGTGCTGCACTAGGTCTCTTCTTTCCTGAAGTTTATCTATTTGGCACCTTTCTGTCTCTCAGGGGCATGTGCCAGGCACTGCTTGCTATAGAAGCAAGCGCACATGTGCAGAAACAAAATTTCATTCTCAGTTGCTATCAAAATTCCGCCCTCAGTTTCCATTCTCTTCTGAGATTTCCAAGTAATTCCCTGTGTTCTTCTGCATGGTTACATAGGTAATATTTGGAAATGCCCAGTGGACCTCTTCCTTCCTAGACGATATATATTTGACCCCCTTCAGTCTCCCAGGAATGTGATCCTGTGGAAGCAAGCACACTCATATGGAAACAAAATTTAACTCTCAAGTGCCGCTTTCTTTTGAGACTCCCAAATAATCCCTTGTCTCTTTCTGCATGGTTACATAGATAATATTTAGAAATGGTGGCCATTTCCCATTGGATCGGTTCTTTCCTAGAGTGTATATATTTGACCCTCTTCAGTCTCTCAGGAATATGTGCCATGTAGTCTTGTGGAAGCAAGTACACTTATACGGAAAACAAAATTTCACTCTCAGTCGTCTGTTGGGAATTTCTGCAATCTTCCCAGGAGCTGCTTTGTCCCGTAGCACAGCAATATAGTGAAAACACAACAAAACACAATAGAAGGAAAGGGTACTTTTGTTTTTGTTTTAACAGGGCTGGAGCACAAATCAGCTCATAGGTTTTGAATAAACCAGCTGTCTTCATTTCACTCCAACATTCCAGCCATTCCAGCCACAGTGGAGAGTTTCAAAGAACTGTTTCAGGAGTGCTTGTGGGTAACAGGGTTTTGAGGGTGGAGGTAGAGGGTATATAACTGAGAATCTTTTCCAGTACAGTGGTACCTCGGGTTACATACGCTTCCGGTTACATACGCTTCAGGTTACACACTCTGCTAACCCAGAAATAGTGCTTCAGGTTAAGAACTTTGCTTCAGGATAAGAACAGAAATCGGGCTTCGGCGGCGCAGCAGCAGCTAAAGTGCTTCAGGTTAAGAACAGTTTCAGGTTAAGAACGGACCTCCGGAACGAATTAAGTATTTAACCCGAGGTACCACTGTATATAACTGAGAATCTTTTCACAGTGCTGAGTCACAGAAAGAGTTACGCTCCCTTTTAAAAGAAGCGCCGTAAAGTACATTAAACTGGCTCACAAAGGAAAGACGCCTAGAACAGGAGGAAACACGGAGGCTGAGGAGAATGACACAGCCTTGTCACTGAGAACCAGGTGCCTTCTTTATAGGTAGGATCAGACACACCTCCCCCCAATGGAGCATGTGTGTGCATTGGGCCAAAGAGTCGCAAGGAGTGAGCTTGCCCCACCTCATCTCTAGAAGCTTAGTGAGAGGAGCAGGTCAACTGGTGGGACATCTTTGTAGCTTCCATTCAGTTATGAACCTCTTACCTTGCTCTTATACCTGGGAATTGTGACTCCTGGACTTAGCTTGCTACTGAGTCTGTACCCCTATAAGTCTGAATAAAGATCTCTTCCTTCCTTACAAATAAAAGTCACTGTCATGTTTTTTTAGGAAGGGAGTGTGACATCCTGAAGGGTTTGCACAAAGCGTACATTGAGGTTACATTTTACTGAGCAATCATTTGTTGATTTGTATACAGTCTAAACCACTGAGCCTTGGGCTTGCCGATCAGAAGGTCGGCGGTTTGAATCCCTGCGACGGGGTGAGCTCCGTTGCTCGGTCCCAGCTCCTGCCAACCTAGCAGTTCAAAAGCATGTCAAAGTGCAAGTAGATAAATAGGTACTGATGAGGCGGGAAGGTAAATGGCGTTTCTGTGCACTGCTCTGGTTTTGCCAGAAGCAGCTTAGTCATGCTGGCCACATGACTTGTAAAAACTGTCTGTGGACAAAAGTCGGCTCCCTCAGCCAGTAAAGCAAGATGAGCACAGCAACCCCAGAGTCGTTTGCGACTGGACTTAACTGTCAGGGGTCCTTTACCTTTTTTTTTTAATACAACAATGAGCTTTCATCCTGATTTGCTTGCTGGGTGTTTCTGCATCTTCCTGTTAATCATCTGTTAATCATACCATACTTTTCAGTGTATTTTCCTGTCACCTTCCTAACAGCAAAAAAGTAAGGTTTTTAATTTTATTTTTTAAAAATAGGTGTGTGTGTGTGTGTGTGTGTGTGTGAGAGAGAGAGAGAGAGAGAGAGAGAGAGAGAGAGAGAGAGATAGGGCGATAGAGCACTTTAATCCACTTTAATTGCACAAACCTAACTTTCCACAATGTGGTTGAATCCCTCCTGAAAAATATTGACGGTCTGGAGGTGACCCAAGCTACTTTCTCTCCAGCTCAGTGCCTCCATCTGTAAAATAGGGTTAATAGTACTGAACTACCTTTTAAGCGAATTAAACAAAAATCCAAATGAATTAGTGCTGCATTTATTTCGCTAATCTTGACTTTTACACAAAGAATGTTTATAGTCAGAGCAAAAGAGCATTTCTGGAGTCTTGTTTCTTTAAGACACAGTACACCGTCCTTTCAGAATGCAAATATTCGGTGGATTTAATAGTTTGCAGTTCGAGTCCGCCGTTTGCTTTGTAACCTGCCACTCGCCGTGACAAAGATAATCGCATTTGGCAGCCTTCTCTTGGTTGAGCCAGGCAAATTGAATTAATATACTGCAGAGATTAAATGTTTTAGCAATTGCTGTTGCTTGCAGAATTGGGAGAGGGAGAGCAAGCAAGTTTTGGAGCACAAGGAGCTTACTTCCTGTCCTGCCATATGGTGCTCTCCCTGAGAGAGAAGGTTTGATCTTTGGCTTCTCACCACATCAAATTGATTACTAAGAAGAAGTGGGGTGGGGTGGGGACTGCAAGCATGCTAAGTGCTGTTTCATTCCAGGCTCCTTTGCAACCGCTATTCATTGTCTTAGCAGGGCAGCCCATTAAACCCGTGTGCAGAACGGCTTCTGAAGGACTTGCCCTTTGCAGGCTCTTTCAGTGTCGCTCATTAAGTTGTGTGTTGCTTTGAATTAACGGGCCTGTAACTCATCTTGCATCTCTCTTACAAACTCATTGGTTAACAGAAGCGGAGCTCAGGTGTTTTCTGCCTACTGCTAAGAACTGAAAAAGAAAGGGGCGGTTGTTTTGGAAACGACAGTCTGATTAGGTTATTCCAGAGGGGTAACCATGTTAGTCAGTTGCAGAAAAAACAACAGAGTATTGTGTGGTGCCTTTATTATGGCAGAGCTCATTTTGTCAGATGCATGAAATCACCCTTTGGCAGAGGGTGGCCTTCAACTAAGTTTTTACTCAGAGTAGACCACCAATTGAAATTATTGGCCGTGACTTAATAATGTTTATTGATTTCAGTAGGTCTACATACCCTCCAACATTTCTCCAATGAAAATAGGGGCATCATATTCAATGAAGATGATGATGATGATTTTATTATAGTTCTATGTGATAGCTTTTTATGTTAAACTTTTCAATCTCTTTTGTGATGAGATTGTGTACTGTATGCTTTTTATTTTTTGTTTATTGACTGTAATGAATTCATAGAATCAGTTGATCTTTGGACAGAGATAGTCTGGCCACAGTGGTGTTTGTTTTGGTCCTCCAGTTGGATTGCTGGAGTGGGTTATTCATGGCACTGCCTTTGGAGACAAACTGGAAGCTTCAGTTGGGGAAGAATGCAGAGGTCATAGTTATGACTGGAACTGCCAGGTTTGGTATACCTGGTACACCAATTTTATAACTGGTGTATCAGGAAGTTTTTTAATGTTTGACATTTTACTTTGTTTTTGTATGCACTGTAAGCTGCCCGTAGTGGCTGAGGAAACCTAGCCTGATGTGCGGGGTGTAAATGTTGTTGTTGTTGTTGTTGTTGTTGTTGTTGTTATTATAGCTCTGCATCAATGCAAAGTGTCCATCATTATCTTTAATAAAGCCATAGATAGTTTGGGATGTAGATTCAAGAAGGAGCATTTCTTCCCATTGCAATGGGCCCATAACTTCTACTGAGGTCCCCTGAGTGCTTCCATTAATAGAGGTGCTGTATTCAGGAACAAGGGAGAGAGCTTTCTGAGTAGTGGCACCTCAGTTATGGAATGCCCTCCCTTAACAGTCTCACATGATACCTGCGAAACATTTTGACCTCAGGAAAACTATTTGCATTTACCCAGGCATTCTAATATGTTGTAAATCCTACTTTCATTTTCAAGGATTTTGTCAGCTCTATTATTTATATCGTGATATAAATTGGTTGCATGCTGCCCTTAAATCCAAATAGTATAGACATGTTTTAAATAAATGAAACAGGTGCTTTTTATTCTCCTTAATAGTGGTTGGCAGGAGATACCTTTCCTACTTATGAAGTAGTAATTAAATGCCTACTTGCTGCCACTAAGCTATGTCTTGCCTAGTTATGGAGGTTATCTAAGGTCCCTACTCTCTCTGTCAGCTATGGGACTTTGCAATTATGAGTAAATTAACTGAACAGATCCTAGTAGCAGGAGGACAAATCAACAACAACCCTGCTTCCTTGAAAGTTTGTTACTTTGGTTTCATATACTGTACAGTACTAATATAAGCAAGCAGACATTTCTCAAGCCACAAACTGATATATTACAGTTATGGTCCTTTAATATTTGCCAGCTTTTTCACAAATGTATGTTACGGAATGTTGGAATGGGGTAGGGGAGGAAATGTTTTGTGCAGTGCCAACAATCTAGAAAGACCTAATGACCCACCCATTTAGTAGAGATCTCCTTCATCTCTGCTTGCTATATTTTGACTGTGCAATGGTTTTTTTAAAAAATAAAAGAACCAGATCACTTAGAATCATAGAGTTGGAAGGGATCCTGAGGATCATCTAGTCCAACCCCCTACAATGCAGGAATGTGCAGCTGCCCCATATGGGGATCAAACCTGCAACCTTGGTATTATCAGCACCATGTTTTAGCCAGCTGAGCTATCCAGGCTTAAAAGGCTTATTAACAGGTTATTGGTGATGATTGAGACATGGAGCCTCCATGTTCATGGCAGCATATCCCTGGTGATCAGATGCTGGGATGAAAGAACAAGCGATGGATAATTCAATGTCCTGGTTGTCTGCTTCCCAGAAACATCTGCTGTTCCTCTGTGTGTGTGTGTGTGTGTGTGTGTGTGCGCGCGCGCATGCATGCATGCACGCACGCACGCTCTTGATAGTGAGTCTTAAAATGGACCCTATTCATTTCATGTAAAACAGAAATAAAATGAGCAGGTGAGTGCAGGGCTCCTGCACCTTTAATAATAAACTGCACTTGGTGAAATTTCATCTTCTACACAACTATTAAAGGTGCAGGAGCCCTGTCATCTTTTCCAACCTGAACAGAAATTAACCCCAGGAAACAGGATGCTCTACAAAAACAAGCAAACAAGCAAAAACAAGCATCCCTCTAGGATGCTTCGATTAAACTGCAGAATCAGCAAGAATTTTCCAACAACTTGCTCCTTATCAACCCAAATTCCTGCCTAAAATAACCCATAGCCCAGCCCGTTATGTATAGCTATTTAAGATCAGGGAGGCTCCTGTAGAAGGACTAATCCCACTTGCAGTAACTGTGTCAGGGAAGTCACAGAATGCCCTGTACAATCAGCATCCTGCTGAGGATTTCTTGCCTCTGTGGGTGAATCATCTGGCGATAAGGTGAAGAAATCACATGCCTGGATGGGTTATAAAACAGCAGTTCCACGTGGCTGGTGAGATGTTCTGTCAGGCTTATGAGATTTTGGAACTTAGTCCATTGGCAGGCTGCCTTCAGCAGTATAGACAGGGCATGTGGGAGCAACGCTCTCCTGCTATACACGAATGTCTGCTTCAATCATTATCTAGTATAACCATCAGGTGTCAGTCACAAATCCACACATCCCTTGCTCCTGCAGAGCCACTCTACATTTGAAAACTAGAGGAGACACACAAAGTGGTCATTTAAGCAATGCATTTCCATTTAACACTTGTGTGTTGATAACCCAGTTGTTGAGAGTGTTTTTCAAAAAACAAACATATCACATGATCATCTGCTGAGTTGTCCAGAGCTTGTTTAAAAAAGATCTATCTGTAAATACAGAGATTGATACAGCAATTTTCATGGTGTTTTAACCAGTAGTGCAGTAGCAAATTTAGAAGTGCAGTGTCAGGGCTGGTTCAGCACAGAAATTCAAAAGTGAGCAGTAAGGTTGATTCTTTATTCAGAGAGACAAAACACAGCAGAGAACTTGGTGGGCAGAACTAGCCCAATGAAGCAGTTGCCAGAACTGTGGATCTGAGCCTCCAGCGAGCTGCCTTCCCCATAGTAGCAAACTCCTTCATGGAGGGGCTGTCTGTGCCTTTTCTTATGCTACATGCAATGGCCTCCTCGTTCTTCAGGACAGAGGAGGAGGGGAGGGGGAAACTGTGGAAGTGGCAGATTGCTGGGGATCTGTTGCTGCCTCAGCCTCCTCCTCCTCAGCTGTCTCACTCTCAATGAAACCTATTGCTTGCTCAGCCTCCAACTTGTCTGCCCCCTTTCTTCCTCTGACTTATCTTCTGAATCCCACCACCATCCTCCTGACTCGGAGCCTTCCCACTCTGATGCTTCCCGGTGGGGTGGGTTCCCTGGCTGTAGCCTCCCACCATTCCCCCTCATCTAGCCAGTCCCTGATCCATTCATACAAATCACAGCCACGCCCCTCTCACTGCTATGCTTCCTTATAAGACTTTATAATCCACTAAGATTATACAGTAATCTTATAATTATACAATAAGAGCAATTAAGGATGCATGTGCTACTTTTTGTGTGTGCGCGTATGCATAGGCAAATGATTTGGAGAGCTCCAGTCTCTTCTTTCAGAGCGAATGGCGTTTTCCTTGCAGTTCCATCTTACATAACAGAACTTGGAACACCCTTTGTTTTCAGTGTTCCCAAATGCTTAGCTTTGGAGCATCCAGAACAACAACTGCATGATGTTCTTCCCATGTGCCTTCTCAAGAGTGACCCAAGGAGCTGTTGGAAACACGCCTGGGAAGGCCCCCAACTTCCCAAGTCTTCGGGGCGTCTCTCCAGTGGTCCTCCCTGGCTGTAAATCTCCCTCAGTCCAGAGAGACCGGTGATAAGCGACTCCTCTCTCCTGAGAGGAGCACACTCGTCTTCTGGTGTATCATTGCAGAAGAAAGACTCAATCAGTAGCTCTAAAACTACTTTATTTACAGTCTATATACAAAGACTCCATCAGCACGTCTGTGCTCTTTCAGCATCAGTACAGAACAGCAACACTTTCAGAAGTGAAACTAACTTCCAACAGTCCTCAGACTTCCTGTCTCATGCTCACTCAGACACTCACATGATGTACACAAAACATAGTACAACAGTACCACTTGCTGGAGCAGCTCGGAGAGATAAAAATCCTAACAGGAGCCAGTCCTCAGTGGCTGACTCACCTTTCCCTCTGATTGGCTTGAATCAGCACAAAGGGGCGGACGGCTCCTTCTCAGTGGCTGGAAAGATCCACTTTCATGCTGACTGGGTGGTTCTAGGGTGCTAGAGACAGGGACCTTGCTGAGTCTTTGATCCCCTGTGACGACTGGGCCACCACACCTCTGGTTTTAACAAACAAAAGACTGTGTTTGGAAGAAGTGGTCTCCATTCAAATTTCTGGTGCTCGCAACAGATTATTGGGGAAAAGTTAAAAGAATAGAAAATGAGTTGAAAGAAAAACCTAAAATGGCAATTCACAGGACATATCTTGGATATGCTTACTTGGAAGTTATTTCCACTGTGTCCAGTGGAACCAGCCTGACATGTTTTGCTGCTGTAGGCAAAATGCCCTGATGCCACACCCCACAGAACCAAGCCTCCTTGCCCAGCTGTTGCACCTGTTCTGCCACCAGCCCTGCCAGTGAAACTGCACAGGTGCCTGTGGCTGTGCCACAATGCCGCCACAATGCAGTGACAAGGGTGCAGTGGTGCGAGTGAAGCCTGCGGGGGGGGGGAAGGTTGGCAGCAGCTCAGTGGCTGGGGTGGGGAGAAGGTAGGGCAAGGGTCGGATCTGCTACCTGAGGCAAATGGCTTCACCTTGTCTTATTGATGAATGGCGCTCACCCTCTGATAAGTTTTAAGGTTGCTGCTTAGTGATGCAGTTCCTAAGCTGCAATCTTATGTACAATTATTATTTTAATAGAATTTTCGCTTGCTGAGTGTGTACTCTCTTTTAGAGAGTAAGCCCTTTTGAAATTACAGGGACTTCTGAATAAGAATATTATTATTATTATTATTATTAATAATAATAATATCATCATCATCATTATCATTGCGTAGGATTGCACTGCTGTCGATGTGTTATCATGCATATAGTGCTGGACTAGAAATCCTTACTTGGCTTTGCTGTGCAGCTTCCTGGAATCTGTTGAGCAAGTAATTAGCATTTAGACTAACCTACCTGTAGTGCACATAAAATGGGATCACCCCAGGGATGCTATTGTGAGCTCCCTGGAGCAAGGGTGGCATGCAAATGAGATAGACAAATAAAATGACATACATCCCGGGCTTACTTATTTGAGGTCAGGAAGTGGGGATGTAAGAACATAAGAAGAGCCTGCTGGATGAGGCCAATGGCCCATCTTAGTCCTGCATTCTGTTCTCATGATTGCCAACCACATGCCTGTGTGAAACATGCAAGCAGGACCTGAAGGCAAGAGCACTTTCCCCTCCTGTGGTTTCCAGCAACTGGTATTCAGAAGCATTACTGCCTCTGACCGTGGAAGCAGAGCATAGTCATCACAGCTAGCAACCATTGGTTCCCTTATCCTTCATGAATTTGTCTAATCCTCTTTTAAAATTGCTGGTTATCACTGCCTTATATGGAATGTAGTGTCCCATAGTTTGACTATGTGCTGCATGAAGAAGTATGTCCTTCAAAATTCAGATTCATTAGATATCCACAAAACCATTAACAGTCCACAAAGTGCATAGAGAAACATTGCGGACTTCCAGATGCACCACCAGTGTCATGGTGTAACTTCCAGTCAATTAATCCCATCACAACACAGCTGCATTGTTTTGGGGTTTTGAAGGTTTCTAATGAAAGACTGGGAGGAGCTGGGAGTAATTAATTAAGCTGGCTATAATGGACACGTGTTCCATTTTCTCTCCCTTACATTTTAGGTGCATAAACATTGTCCTGTTGTTTGGTACCAGCTTTGCCAAGCAACACAGTGGGAATTTAGCTGGTTAATCATAAATGGGGACGCATGCTGCCTTTTGTACTGAGGTCTGTGAGAGAATGATAAATCCCGAGCGGCAGTGCAGGGGGCAGCTGTATAGGAGGATAATGCACTGCCTGATGCAAGTGATTTGAGGGAGCTGCTTGATTTAGTAACATCCGGTTTACATAATGTGGAGCGATTCTGGCCTCTCGAAAAATTGACAACAACCACTGAAGATTACCGCACGCCAGCAGCCGTTTTGTGGATTATCTGCTTCAACGTCCCAGAAGATTAATAATGTCACTTTCATCCCAGTGTCAATATGCACCATCTCCTGATGAACATGGTGCCAAAAATGCTGCCAATCTCCCTTTCCCTATTTCCCCTCATCTCTGCTGCTCAAAACAAACACACTCGCCCTCCCACACCCCTTGTATATGGTTCTTCCAAGCACAGAAGGAGAGAAGTGAGGGAACTAGTCTGAGAATTAAGTGTTGCCTGTTTGTGACTTTCTCCACCCTTTCATTTGGAATTGGTGAGAGTCATTTCAGAGGTGACCTCATAAGCGCCCCATTTTTCTTGTCTCCTGAATTCTTCACCGCCCCCCTCTTTTAAGATAGCACAGTATTTGGGGCTGTCTTTGAAAATGTTCCAGAAATTTAAGTTACTTAGGAACTAAATATCTCGAACTGAGCAATCTAAGCGCATTGGATCAGTGCTTTGCCATCTTCACTGGTTCTCCATTGCTGGGCCCTACTCATGGTTTTGAACTTTAAGATCCTTCACAGCTTGGGACCAGCTTGGGGTGAGGGTGCTCTAAAAGAAAACTGCCTCTCTCCACAGGTGCCTGCCTGGACCTTGAAACCTGGTTAAGACCCACCATAAAGGAGGGCACACTCAATTGCAATTCTTGGCTGGAGCTTTCGTTGCACCTTTAAGCAGATAGAGACATATGGCCCTATTGAGAAATGGCAAAAATCCAGCAACAGTCAGGTTGTGACCAATGATGGCCAGCTCACCCTAAGGCCGCACTACTTTGGGATGCAAAATGCGGCTTCATATGATCTATATGTTTTGCATGTGCTTCCTTTGTCCCACAGCCTCCCCTTGTAGGTAACATTCTCAAACTATTTTCTGGGCCACTCTCTGTAGTGTCAGCTAGTTGCTAGCAAGAATTCTGCATAGCATTGTCTGATCAGAATTTCAAATATAAAAAGAAGCAGTTAGCACATCACTTCTATGGAATTGCAGCAGAGCCTAATATATTCTTTTCTGTAATAAGCATGTCTTCAATGGTCCATGTGGTTCTGGAGAAAGAACATGCATGTGCATATTCTGTGCTAAAAAATATGGATTCTGCAACGGATATGAATCAGACACGCTGAGCTTAATTTATTATACTTCACTTTTACTGCTTTGCTTAATTACCGTATTTTTCGCTCTATAAGACGCACCAGACCACAAGACTCACCTAGTTTTTAGAGGAGGAAAACAAGAAAAAAAATATTCTGAATCTCAGAAGCCAGAACAGCAAGAGGGATCGCTGCGCAGTGAAAGCAGCAATCCTTCTTGCTGTTCTGGCTTCTGGGATAGCTGCGCAGCCTGCATTCGCTCCATAAGACGTACACACATTTCCCCTTACTTTTTAGGAGGGAAAAAGTGAGTCTTACAGAGCAAAAAATACGGTAATTCTGTGTTGGCTATTCTTGGCGGCGGGGTTGGGGGAGGGGGGGGAACTATGCTTTGGAATACAGTACTGACTCCCCAACCACTTCAAATCTTATTCAGCCTCTCCCCGCCCCAGCTTCTCAGATTTCAGCAGTGATGGAGGCTAGGAACTTGTGAGATTTTTAAAAACGAATGTTGAGATTCCCAGGTAAGCTGAAATACGCACTCTGCTAGACTCACAACATTAGGGTTGCCATATTTCAAACAGTGAAAATCCAGATAGAAAAGTCATTGTAAATTAAGGTGACTCTTCATATAAGAATTGCTAGGCAACTCTGGTTTGATAGCAATGATGAAATATATTGCAGAACACAAAAACATCAATAAGCACTCTGTTTCTGTTATATGCCAAATTCTTGTACTCCTTCCCCCTCTCCTTCTTGCTTTATTGGCCGCTGGATTATTTGCATTTGTCTTGAATATTGGCAGAGAGGTTTGTAAAAATACAGCTTTGTCTTTGGGACTTCAGAAAAAGATTGGCACATTATTATTCTTTTATTCTGTGATGATGTTGCGCCATTTGGTGCCCATGGGCATGAAAAGTGCAACTGGGAAGGTTTGTATCTGTATCAAAGCAACATTTTATGTGCTACTCCCAATTGATTGCCTATTGAATTTTGAAGTGATTTATCGGCTATGCTCCTGAACATATTATGAATAATTCAGTCCTTTAATGCAGTTTGCAGCATTAACACAACTTTATTTAGTTCCTTTTGGCTGGGTTTTCAGAAGTTCCTGCTGCTTTTAAAGGAGCCAGGCTTGGGACTTAAAAAAACAAAACAAATCTGATTTGCAGTACTTGGCAACTCACTCTGAAAAGCAGGTTTGTTGCCCTTCTGCTGTTACAGGTGCACCAGAAATTTAAAATGCAATCGGCCTCCTGCCCCCCAAATATTTGCACGTTCACATCATTATCACAAACAGACCAAGATTTTAACCACAATTTGAATTGGGTTTGAAAATCATGGTTAAAATTTGAGGGGCCAATTTGTAATGTGAAAAAGGAAACTATCCACTGCAAAAGAATACAAATATTTGCATAACATTTGCATGTGCTGGTTTATGTGCCTAGATGCATATTTATCAATAATTACCTTAATTTAAATAGAAATACAATTTATCTCACCATAGCGGGGAAGACTTTGGTTAGCTGACTCCTGGGCCTGCTCTGTTGCCTCCAGACTGCCTCTGTTTTGTGGGAGGGATTCAGTCGCATTCCAGAAATTGAGGTTGGGGCAATTAAAGTGGATCAAAGCATTCTGTGCAGCATATTCTCAAAGAACTGACCCCATGCTTTTGACTGTAGGGACAATGTAGACCCAAATGAATATGATGGCATAAGGGAAAGAGAAGGTAGCTCACACTTAGGGACATGTTCTTGAGAGACGGAGAGTGGCAGGAAACCCATGTTATTTGGATTGTTCATCATGAGAGCTCCCATCCTGTAGAGCAGTGTTTCTTAAACTTTTGTCCCCAGCTGTTGTTGGACTACAACTCCCATCATCCCAAGCTAGCAGGACCAGTGGTCAGGGATGATGGGAGCTGCAGTCCAACAACAGCTAGGGATCCAAGTTTGAGAAACACTGCTGTAGAGCAAGGGTGGGGATCCTCCTGGGCCCAAAATGCAGCCCCCCAGGCCTCTCTGTCTGGGCCCCAGGACACACCCTCGCCAGCTCTACTCCTAGCCCTTCTCAAGGACTTGGCTGGAATGCATCCTTGAATGCTGGTCATGCCTCTTGTTTGCCTGAATGTAGGACTGTGGGTGTCCAAGCACCTAAATGAATGGGATGTGGCCAATGGTACAAATATGAGAGGCACATCCATTGCCCCACACTGGCATGTGGCTCTCAGCTGATTCCCCTTCATAGAATCATAGAGTTGTAGAGCTGGAAGGGGCTACGAGGGGCATATAGTCCATCTCCCTGCAATGCATGAATATTCTGCCCAACAATGGGGCTCTACCAACTGAGCTGGAATGCTCAGTTTGGATTTTTTTTTTTAAAGGTTCCCCATTCATGCTGTAGGGTGACCATAGGAGATAGTCTAAAAAGAGCTACGGGGGAAAGGCTGTAGCTCAGTGATAGCACTTCTGCCTTGCATGCAAAAGGTCCCGGGTTCAATCCCCTGTAGGTCCCCTGTCTGAAACCCTAGAGAGATGCTGTCAATCTGTGTAGACAATGCTGAGCTATATGAGCCAATCATCTGACTCAGCTTCCTGGCAGCTTCCTGTGTCCCCAAGAGCAGCTCGTGCTTCTGATTCAGCTCTGTTGAGCCAAATACAAGCATTTTTCAGAGTAAAATGGGGGCACATCCAAAACATCCTTTTGCAGCCACTCAAAAATCCTGGGGAATGTGGTAGGAACCGTGGCCTTCAGTCACTTAGAGGCTGCAAGAATAATTTTTAAAAAGCAAGCTTTCACTTTAGCCTTGCAAAGCAGCCTACAGAAGTTACTATCGCTCAAATTGAGTATTGGGTATTGTCCGATCTGGTGTTGATGGAAAGGAGATCAAGCACTATGTGTGCCTAAATCTGCTTGGTGTAAGGGATTCCCTGCAGTCCTGTTGCCTCTCATGTGTGCATTGGCTTAGATATGCTCTCTGCATGCAGATTACTCCGTGGTGTATTGAGGCCAAAATCTCTATTTCAGGAAAATTAATTGGATTGAGATTTATTTATTTGAGGTTTAATATTTGTTCCCCAGAGATGGAATGAAAGTGTTGCCGTCTGCAGTGTACTCAGCTAATCCTAGCCTTTCCTGAATGTTAAGCTTTCTTTATGGCGTCAGTGCTGTTGCCATACAGAATCATAGAACTGTAAAGTTGGAAAGGACTCTGGGGATCTTCTGGTCCAACCCCTGCAATACAGGAATCTCAGCTAAAGCATCCATGGCAGGTTTGGTTTTCAGACCCTTGATCATCTTGGTCGCCTTCCTCTGCATACGTTCAGCTTGTCAATACCCTTCTTAAATAGTGGCACCCAGAACTGGACACAGTACTTCAGGTGTGGTCTGACCAAGACACAATAGCGGGTGACTATTACTTCCCTTGATCTGGACACTATACTTCTGTTGGTGCAGCCTAGAGAAGCATTAGCTTTTTTTTTTGCAACTGCATCACACTTTTGACTCAAGTTAAGCTTGTTGTCTGCTAAGACCCTTAGATCCTTTTCACATTTACTATGTTTTTTATGTGTTGGAAGCCGCCCAGAGTGGCTGGGGCAGCCCAGCCAGATGGGCAGGGTATAAATAAAGTAATTACTACTACTACTACTACTACTACTACTACTACTACTGGCAAGCCAAGTGTCTTCCATGTTACATTTGTGCAGCTGGTTTTTCTTTCCTAAGTGTAGAACCTTACATTTGTCCCTGCTGAAATTCATTTTGTTAGTTTGGACCCAGTTCTCCAATCTGTTAAGGTCATATTGAATCCTGGTATTGTTTTCTGTGGCATTCGCTACCCCTTGTGGTTTGGCATTACAGTGGTACCTTGGGTTACATACGCTTCAGGTTACATACGCTTCAGGTTACAGACTTTGCTAACCCAGAAATATTACCTCAGGTTAAGAATTTTGCTTCAGGGTGAGAACAGAAATCGTGCTCCGGAGGCGCAGCAGCAGCGGGAGGCCCCATTAGCTAAAGTGGTACTTCAGGTTAAGAACAGTTTCAGGTTAAGAACAGACCTCCGGAACAAATTAAGTACTTAATCCGAGGTACCTGCATCTGCAAATTTGGTGTCATCTGCATCACCCGAATTCCTTCATCCAAGTTATTTATAAAGACATTGAACAGCAACAGGGCCCAGGACAGAACCCTGAAGCACCCCACTTGTCACTTTTTCCCAATATGATGATGAGCCACATCATTTGCATATAATGCTACTCCTCCCCCCTTGTGTTTGTTTGTTTATGACTCCCTAATTTAATCTTTCCTGTTCTTTCTTTCTTTCTTTCTTTCTTTCTTTCTTTCTTTCAGCAATTCATGAATTTCCTGATGATCTATTCACAAATAAGGAAAGGCAGAAAGGAGCAGTATTGCTACATATTCTTGGTGTAAGTATACCTAACTTTTCTCATATATGTTGCTGTTATTGTGCAGATGGTTAGCTTAAGCGTGACACTGATTTATTTATTAACTTGGGGTGCAGATGTTGTTGGACTATGACCCCAATGATCCCTAACCATTGTGCTAGCTGGGGCTGGTGGAAGTTGGAGTCCAAAAACATCGTGGGGGGAGGGGACACACTGATTCCCACCTATGCCCTTAATTTATATATGCTTTCCATTTATAGCCCACTTCATCCTGAAGGGTTGGAGAGAGTAAGTTCTTTAATGGAGCTCTGCTTTCAGTTGACAGACTTCCTGGAGACTATGAAAAGCCACACAGCCAGTCAAAACAGAAAATACTTGCTTAGATGGACAAACCGTCTGACCTGATACGATGCAGTAGGAGTGTCCACAGAGCCTCAGCTCCTAAAAAAGCTCAGGGCAGAATCTCACATGACACTTAATATGGGCTAGTAGTTGACAGAAATGCTGTAGGATATCTCTTCACCCTGTATCATCGGCTTCTGCTGGTAAGGGCAGGGAAATTCAGTGCGATGATGCCAGGACTCTCGCAAGTTTTGCTGCGTGTTAGGAAAGCTGAAGGGAATAACTTAAGACTTGCCTGCTATTTCTAAGCAGCCTCATAATGCACAGTTCTATCCTGTTTTATTTGCCTTTTAACTTTGGTTATCCTGATGCAAAACATGGAGAGTTCTCCTTTACATCCTCCTTGTGCTTCAGGACCAAATTACATGTTGCGTGCGAATGCATGTCACAGAAGTCTGATGGAGATTATTATTATTGTAAAAGCTGATTGGGAGCAAAGATGCAGGGCTGAGCACATAACCTTCACTTCTCCTCATGTAGTTTTAAATGTATTTTGCAAGCATTCATAGAATCATAGAATTGCAGAGTTGGAAATGAACCCCCCCCCCCGGGTCATCTGGTCCCTGCAATGCTGTCCCTGGGTGGGCTTGAACCACCAACCTTCTGATTAACAGCCATGTGCACTGACCCCCAATTCATAACATTCATTGTAGTTTAGCCCTCAGAAAAAAGAATAACAGTATATTTCCAGGAAAACCTGTTACAATTGTGGTTCAACATTTTCCTAGTTTTTAAAAGAAAACCTGCAATGTGCCCTGCAGCTGTTGATTATTGTGAAATATAGATCCTATATTGTTATATATTGATTTCATTGAGGTGGACTACAAAATATCCCATACAGGGAGCAGCAAGACAAAATAAACAAATCACCAAGTGGCAGCTTTAGGGAGATGTGACTGTTTCTTTATGGTGCATTGCAAACTTTCTAGAAAGAAGACCATTGGGCATAACCCAGTTTTCTTCATCTAGGATTGGTAAATGGATCCCTCCAAGCAACCAAGTACACATGCAGCCTGATCATATGCACATTGGTCAGAAATAAGCCAAATTTTTGTCCAGTGAGACTTTCTCCTAGATCAGCCTGCGCAGAATTTGCAACTTTAAGGTGGTTTGTATGCAGCAAGGCAACACAGAGCTCTTGAACATACAGGCCTGCTCACAGACTTCACAGGAAGATGCAGGCCCATATAAATGAATGGTAGGAGAACTCTTGCAGGTGCATTTTCCAGGCTGTGGGATGGGTTGCACTAAGAAGGGGGAAGAGACCTATGGTGCTTCTTAAAACAAGATGACCAGCCCCAGGCCTTGTGTGTATACTGACACACACAGCACCGTGGCTCCCCATTCTGGATCCCCATTCCTGTCAATGGAAGAGACAGTAATGAGCAAGTGGAACCTTCTCTCTGTAGGACTAAATAATGAAGATGTTGCTTTGGAATCTCAATACCTGCAAAACACCCATGTATTCAATTGACTGTGTGTAGTTCAGGGAAGGGACTTACCTATTTTATTTATTGTTTAGCATCTAACATACATTTCAGGTGCAATTTCTGCTCATTGGACACACCTTCTGTCAGAAGGGGGCAATTTTTGTTGATTCTCCTCCCCTCTGCAGCTTCTTGTGGCCCCCCAAAATCTAATTTTAGAAGACCTTCTAAAACAGTTTGCTGGGAGGGGGTGGATTCTGCGGGGGGTGGGGGTGGAGCAGAATGAGCAGAAATCACCTTCCTGCTCCCTTCCACCAGCCTCTAATGGATTGAAGGTCCTTTTGAAAAAGGAAGGACTCCTTCTTTTCACAGAAAGCACGCTTAGAGTCCAGGTCTATAAGATGGCAGCAAGTTACAAACCCATTTCTGTTTTGGGTTTCAGGAAGTAGTAATGGCTTGCCTATGATAAAGCCTCCTCTTTTCTCTTCAGCAGTTCTACAAATTTCTGAACTAATTCAATTCAGTATCCATAATCAGGCTCAGTTATATTTACATTTCTGCTTTAAAGTCACCTCTTCAGTGGTTTCACATTTTAAATGCAAATTGTTCTTTTCAATTGTACTGTTTTAAAGAATAAATCTGAATTTCATGTTTGTATTTTGAGAAATCGGGTGATTCAAATGGCCTCTGGCTAAATTGCTATTTTAATAATAAAGGAGATTAGAGGTCTGTCTTGGTGAGGAGAACTGGGAGAGTGTTTTGGCACCTGCTGCTGTGACTAGCAGAGGGAGGTATAGGGCCCGGGGTTGATCAGACCAGGTAAGAAGAAGGGGCATAAGAAAGTTGAAGGTCATTTTTCCTTCTGGGCCATCTTCCACACAAAAGGCTTTGGGTTGCCATAACCAAAAGTCCCTGGTCCTGTTGCTGCTAAGTGCCAAATCAGCCCATAACAAGAGATCCCTGACCTACCATTTGATAGTTGATGAATCTGGCATGTATTACTAAGACCTGGAGAGGTGTCCTCAGAGGCTTTGCCCTTCTGGTTACTTGGTGCAGCAGCCACACAAGTTGGAGGGCCTAGGGTAGGGTCACTGTTGTTCATAGGATTGTAATCTTCTTGACCAGGAAACCCATCCATTTCAGATCCAGTTTCAATGGTTTGTTCTCAGCATTCGAAACTCCATTAGTCCTAGGCATTTTTTGCTACAAGGGATTTCATTAGCGCGAGCAGTTTCTGAGCTCTGGGTGCAGTACCGTGCCTAAGATTTCAGATTAAAACTGCAGAGTGGAAGGAAAGGAGGACCTTTTTCTGCCTCCCCACTTCCAGCTACTCTCTGAAGACTGGAGAAGAGACCCTCTTAAGAATATTAGGGGGGCAGGCAGGGGAAGTATGGCTTTATATTTTGCAGTCTTCACATGAGAACTAGACCATGTGAAAAATGAATATAATATTTTAGCTGCAGTTCATTCATTTTCAGCTTTGTATTCTTTCTATAAAAAGTGTGCCTAGACATTCCATTGTTGTACCCATAACCTAGGTTTAAGGTGCCATTTAGCTCCTAGCTTTCGTATCTCAGTTTCTAACACTATTTGTTCATAGTGTTGGGGCCATCAGGAGCTCCCTAGTGCAGCTGATGGGTTCACTGCCAGTGCCGGTCAAGAAGCCTCACTTTGTTCATTTGCAGGTATGGTTTGAATCCAAACTGTTCTTGCAAACAGACTTCAAAGCAGCTCACTGTAACCACCAATCAGCAGTTATTGAAAGCCCTTTTGAATTTTGACCACTCTACTGACCTGTCAGTGTTGACCCATGGGGGTGGGAATTAAGAATCTAGCCTGCTAGCCAAATCCAGCGCTCCACCCCTGAAACAAGGAGATGGAGGACTCAGTAGATGGAGGTCATTGGAGGCAGGAAAGCTAAAGGTAGGGGACCTAGGTGAAAAGTAGCTGAAGGAACAGGAATAGGGAACAAATGTTTATTAGACACCAGCTCCTACCATCACCACTGCTGCCATGAAGACTTGGTACTTGTAATGGGCATTCTTTCTAAGTGAATCAGTTGTCAGTTGAGTTTGGGGTTCATTTGTTTAATTAGGATCAGTACTCAGTACTAAGCGAGTTTCACTTGTGACCAAGTTTTGTAATATATTCTTGTTTTTTTCTCCACCCCACAGGCTCTGTATATGTTCTATGCCTTGGCTATTGTGTGTGATGATTTCTTTGTTCCATCTTTAGAAAAAATATGTGAGGTACGTGAAAGAGTATTTTTGCTCTTTAAAACTTATGCATTCACAGTTGGTAGACTTAAGGGGGAGAAGCTGCATCCCTGCCTGACAAAATGGAACCTACCATATATTATTTCATCCTTCACATCAAACATGGGACTGTTTGTTCTAACCAGGAATTGGGGTGTGTGTGTGTGATTCAGGTCTCATTTGAAGCTGAATCTACCAAGGTCACACTACCTGAAACAATATGTGAAGCAAAACATTAATCAAAACTGCATATCATAAAAAATGTGTTTATTATTGGAAAAATGTGAAACTGAGAGAACCAAAATGGACAGATCCTTCCATTCTTAGTTCTAATTGTTTGTGGTCTGCTTCACCCCAGCATCTGAAGGCCATATCAGCCAAGGATGGCATTTTAAGATTTAGCATTTCTGCCAATCACATACTGGAATAATGGGTCCCAAATGTTTCTTTCAGAAACTACATCTGAGCGAAGATGTTGCAGGAGCCACATTTATGGCTGCAGGAAGCTCAACCCCAGAGTTATTTGCATCTGTCATAGGTAAGGAATCTCCTTTGTAGTGTTCATATGCACCAGTTTTCCAAAGGAAAACTAAGGTGGTTACTACACAGATGTGTGCATGGACCACTGGTATTCAAAATAACTATCCTAATGACGTTCAAGTGGGAGCCTACTTCACACAGTAATCATACACTGTGTCAGGGGTGGGGAACTGGTGAGGGTAGATCCAGAGGCAAATGTGGGTGGAACGATGGGTGTAATTTATGTTTGTACAGTCAGCATGTTTGTACAGACTGGCAGAGGTTCTCCAGGGGTTCAGGCACAAATCTCTCCCAGCCCTACCTGGAGATGGTGGGTATTGAGCCTGGGACCTTCTGCATGCATAGCAGATGCTCTGCCACTAAACTATGGCCCTTCCCAAGGATCATGTCATTTAGTTGTTATTTTTAGCATATCTATTACTAACCCCCTCCTTCATTTCTCTCTTTCTCTCTGTCTAGGTGTGTTTATCACTCATGGTGATGTAGGAGTTGGAACCATTGTTGGTTCAGCCGTTTTCAATATTCTTTGCATTATTGGGGTCTGTGGACTTTTTGCTGGACAGGTTAGTAGGTTTCTTTCATTTTCTTTACCATTACTTCTGCGTAGGAGGGTAAATCAGATAATATAATATGGAGTAAATCTTATTTAAAAATCAAAGGAATTGTGTGATTGTGAACATAATAAGCTCTGTTCATTTGCTGATGATACCTAAATGAATAAACCTGAAGTAGCTTCACAGTGTCCTGGCTTGTTTAGCCAAAGTGCGGTTTGTTTGTTCATCTGAACCCAGCCCAGCAGGCTAACCATGGTTTGTTTTCTAGTAATAACCCATGTTGTGAAGCCGTGGTTTGTTGTTGGTTTATGAACCATAGCTTATTTAACTATGGTTGGGTGGTATATCCAACCCCAGCAGTCTTGCTTTGGCATGGTTTACATGGACACCTCTGCTCAGGTGTTCACCAAGCTATAAAGCAACAGCACCTGGAAAACAACACAAACTTTGGAGGAACAAGCCATGACTTGTTTGTTCCACTGTAAGATTTATTGTGGTTCGTTGAACAAACTATGGTTAAAATAAACCATGACTTAGTGTTATGTCCAAACCCAGCTGGTGTGTGTGCAAATATAAAGATACTTGTTTATAAAAAAAAATAAATATTGGCTTGAGGGAGACATATCCTCAGTTCTTGTGATGTAGCGCCATATCTAATGGTTGGATTCATGTCCTGCCTCTTAAGGGAAGCATTTCTTTTGGCCTTAATCACAGAAACAAGACTTAACAAATGTGCTGTAAGTTTTGGGCTTGCTTTAGTTTCTGTTGACCAAAGTGGATCTGATGCTAAACTCAGCACTTGTATTTGTGCAAATCTTTTAAAAACATGAAATAAGGGTTGGAGGGGAGCAGCAGGTTTTGGACTATGGCATATACATTTTTTTAACTTTTCCCTCCCACATCACAATCCCAATGAAAATCCCCTCTCTTCAGAGGTGCTTTTCGGCTCTGGAGGGGAATCGGCTCTTCCTCTTTCCAGAGTGCCTCCAACACAGCAGGCTGAGTCACAAAGAACTGTAGAATATTCCCCTGTAGCTTTGTTGACACTGACCTTCCTTGGGAACGTGTGTGTGTGTTGCACCTATTCTTAAAATATTAATGGACATTCATTAAAGTTTACCAAACAAGTAGAAATATTCAACTTTGACTTGGAGAAAAAGCACTGTGTGCTCATTCGAATATAAGGAGAACATTAGGTACTTCTGCTATTCAGATGAATGTTCTTTAGAATACTTCGTAATTACTAAAGAATTACTTCTTTGGAATACTCATCTGAATAGCAGAAGTACCTAATGTTTCTCCTTATATTCAGCTGAGCACACAGCCCTTTCTCTACTTTGCAAACCTGAATATTTCTACTTTCATGGTAAATTGTAATGAACAAGAGGTGCAGTCCAGCCGAAATGAAGCACTTCAAAGTCCATTGCTTTCGCTGGAAAAGACTTGTGCATATGCTCAATATCCCATGGTTGTCGGTGGGATTTAAAAGTGTGCTTAACTTTGAATTATGCCCACAAAGCATCACACTGCACAACTGTTTTCCCTGTGGGTGTTTAATCAGACAGAATTAAGACCATGTTCAGAATTTTTCTTACGTCAGAGTGAAGCAGTTCTTCCGTAATAGCCCTGAATTTCCCACAGCAGCTGTGGGGGACCCTTTGGTCCTCCAGAAGTTGCTGAACTACAACTCCCATCATCCCTGGCCCCTGGCCATGCTTGCTGGGCATTGTAGTTCAGCAACATCTGGAAGGCCAACAGTTTCCCCGTCCTATGGTATGAGGGGTTTCATTCAATGTGGTAGGGTACCCTGGATGAATACCCATGTGGCTACTGTTTTCTGATGTCTCCCGTGTGGTTCTTAAAACATAAGAACATAGGACCATAGGAAGCTGCCTAATACTGAGTCAGACCATCAGTCCATGTAACTCCCTGTTGCTTACCCCATCTGGTAGTGGCTCCGCATGGTCTACCTACTACTGAATTTTGGCAATTTTGGCCCTTTCCCTTGAGATCCAGAACTCCCCTTCTTTGATAGCAAAAGAAGGTAAGAGACCATGCATGTTGTGTTGGGTGGGCAGGATTGCATTGAAATAACCCATAGACCATATTAGCACAGTTCTTACTACATTAACATGGTGCCCTCCAGATGTTGTATGACTACAGTTTCCATCCTCCACAGCCATTATGGCCAATGGTCAAAAATGATGGGAGTTGGCATCAAACAGCATTTGGAGAGGACCAGGTTGGCTATCTTGTCCTAAGTCATATGTGATGAGCAAACAGAGAAATGTGCTTGCATATGTGAACCGGCGCTTTGTTCATTAGAATTGCTCATGTATAGTAAAGCTACTATACAACCAGGTATTTTCAGAATCAGTCCTTTAAAACCCTAAGATGAAAGTATGGCTAAGGAGTAATTCTGGAGTAACTCTGTCCTCTTTCCAGGTGGTCCGTCTCACCTGGTGGTCTGTGTTCAGGGACTCTGTCTACTATACCATTTCTGTGATCGTGCTTATTGCGGTAAGTTTCCATTTTTGACCTGCTCCTCCATGGAGTTGTGAAGGGCCTGAATTTGAGACGTGCTGTTGCCACCAGAAAGTTCTTGTTTGTTTTAGGATTTCTTATGAAAAATCAGTAGATGAGGTCACTTATGATGCTTAAAACTAAATTTAAAACTAAATTTAAAAGCTCAAAAAACTACTGAGCTGTAAATCTAGCTGCCGTTCCCATCCTCAACTGGAACTGGAAGTCCTCCCACTTACGATGTTACCTAGGGGAGTGCACTGTTCAAGCCCCATGCAATCCATCAGAGCTGGCTCCATGTTTGAGAGGGCCCTGGGCAAGATGGTCTCTGGTGGCACTTTGATTAACCCAGCTGAGCTTACAGTACCTGGCAGTGGTAGAGAGAACAACGATGCTTCAAGCAGCTCTGGCTGGCTGGGTCTAACTGCCATTCTCACAATGTTCCCAGAGCAGGGAACTGCATTCTGTTGTAGGGGAGAACTGCATGAAAATGCAAATGCAAATGCAAATGCATGAACAAAGTCTTAACTTTTTTTTCCAAGGTGAAAAACCAATATTAAAAACATATCTCTGGATTCTAACAGGAGTGGGGAAGAAGTTGGGAGGCCAGTTTAGAAATGGTTGAGTAAAGCAACCTGCAGTGTTGCTACTCAAAACTACAGCCTTCCCAGGGCCGCTTTTCATTTTAAAAATAATACATACGTCAAGTAGAATAGAAACATTGGCACCCGACCCCACCCCCACTCACCATGCCCCCCCTCCACCTCTTTCCCCCTTTTCTTCCTAATGTAACACTAAATGTCTCAACAAGTGAAACTGATCTGTAGAAAATGTAACAACAAGAACAACAACAACTTATTACTTATACCCCGACCATCTGGCAGGGTCCCCCCAGCCACTCTGGGCGGCCTCCAACAGGAGATTACAAATACATTAAAAGATCAGGCCTCGGTCCAGTATACCTGAAGGAGTGTCTTCACCCCCATCGTTCTGCCTGGACACTGAGGTCCAGTGCCGAGGGCCTGATGGTTCCCTCGCTGCGAGAAGCCAAGTTACAGGGAACCAGGTAGAGGGCCTTCTCGGTAGTGGCACCTGCCCTGTGGAATGCCCTCCCACCAGATGTCAAAGAGAAAAACAACTACCAGACTTTTAGAAGACATCTGAAGGCAGCCCTGTTTAGGGAAGCTTTTAATGTTTATGTCGGAGCCAGCCGTACAAATGGCGAAGTTTAGCATAAAATTATGACACAGAGAGCCAGCAATATTTTCATGATGGTAGGAGCAGCTCCCTTTTCCTCCCTCTCCTCCTGCAGTTCTTTATTCCTTTGTCCTCTCTCCAGCCGCATGGCTGTTTGCCAGTGTCTCACGTTACCTCATCCGGTCAAGGCTTTTATTGCCCCCTTCACCATATAAGGTTAATCACTGCCCAGAGGAAACACAGCTCCAATACATTCCAATACATTGTAAAGCTCAGAGTGCTGGTCAGCCAAGGTCAGGGGGCACCCTGCAATATTACAAGCCTTTACCGTGGCTTTATGACTCCCACATGCCCTCTTTCTTTACTTTATATCAGAGTCAATACGGTTATCGAGCGCGATAAGCGACTCTTGTGACACCGGAAGCGGGCTGCGGACTGGAGAACCATGCAGTACATATAGAGATTATAGAAAGAATACATTGGATACAGCAACACAAAATAATGCAAATAACTACTATAATGATCACTAAAATCAATAACTACTATAATAATCACTAAAATCCGGAAGCCAAGAATATAAGAATTCTGATTCCAAGCTGCATGGTAGGCTTCCTTTTAGTTTATTAGCCATGCACTGGTGTCACTCCTATAGCACTGAGATTGGTTCCTGTAAGAGAACAAGAGCTATTAAAAGTGAAATTCAATGTATATTGACAGTTTGGATATATGCCCCATGATTCTTTCCCCTCCTTAATTTGAAAATAAATGGGGGGGAGGCTCATGGAGGGTCAATTGTACTGGAGGCTTAGGGGATATAATATTAGTAAATTGAAAAGATCCATTGACAGGCACACCATGAAGCATTATGCCGGAATGACTGGCATACACACCCAACATTTAGAAGCATGCAATAAACTGGCAAACATAATCATATATTGTACAAAAATATTATCCCTCCATATCTTATGATAATTTTCTCCCCTAAAAGTCTTATTCAACAACGCTGTTCTTCTAGTTCAAAAGTGGCTGAGCCGTGGATACTGCCAGCCAGAGTAGGATTCAGGTGACAGCTGCTTGCCAGCCGATGAGGTGAAATATGGTGGTTTCAACTGGACTGGTCATCTGCTTCTCTTCCTTGTATAACGGTGCAGCAAAGGATGGCAAGGCAAATGGTTAGGAAGGCAAACACTGCCAGATGCAGTTCGTGTGCAGCACCTCTAGGTGGCGCATGCGGAAAGGTTTCAATGCTTCACCCACAAATGTTGACAAAGTGTAGGGGAGTTCCGCATGCCTTGAGGCAGGACAACCCACTGATATCGCTGGGTGGGCTGCGAATTGTAATATGCTGACAATGTAAAAGCAAACCGTTCCCTGTCTGCTGGAGCCAGTGGGATGAAGATGGTTCAATGTGGCCAAAAGTCAATTGTTCAGAAATAAGCTGTTCAGAGATAGCTGGTGCCGCTGCTGCGGATTTTTCTTTTGGTAGAGGCCACTGTTCTACCCCCACTGGGGTATCGGTGATCCTGGTTTGCCACCCTGGAAATAAGTTGTATCGGTGGCTACAGGCTGGTTTTCATTTAGCACTGTTGCCAGCAGATAAGCCTTGTGGCTGGCTGTAACTACAGACTGACAAATGCGAAGCATGGCTGCTGTGTCTGTGGCAGGATTGTGTATTATCGGTCGCAATGCAAGTTTACAATCCTCATTGGCATTTTCAAAGGCCAATTGTTTGATAATTATTTGTTTGGCTTCAGGATTTTCAATTTGGCGACTCACTGCTGTAAGCAGCCTGTCCATAAAGGAAGAATATGATTCTCTTGCCTCTTGCCTGATTGAACCCCACCTTGATTGAATACTGGTGGGTTCTGGGATTTTTCTCATTGCTTGTTTAGCAGCAAGAGCAGTGTCCCTCAATAAGATTTGCAGCAGTGTGGCTTGCACTGAAGCTTGAGCGAAGGGACCACGCCCCAACATGGCATCTAAGACGTCTGCGAGGGTAACATTTGGATTATTTCCTCTGACTTGTTGTAACAAGGCTGGAGCATATGCACGGCAGGCAGTTTCCCATTCGTGGGCAAACAAAACACCAGCTGATGGGGGCAACACTGTATGGGCCAAAAGCTTTATGTCCTCTGGAACCAAGAGCTGGGCTAATGTGGCTTCTAAAAGCGCCTGCGTATATGGGGCTTGGAGTCCATTGGCCTTTACTGACTGTTGCAGCTCTTTCAAGATCTTAAAGTCAAAAGGTTGGTGTTGGGCTTGGGTGCCTGCCGGGGCACCAGCAGGGGGCACAATAACAGGGAATGCCATAGTATCCTGAATTAAGGAAGAGGCAAGGACTGCACGTTGAAAAGGAGTAGCTGGTTCTGCCACTGAAAGAGCAGGATCATTGCCAGCCAGACCACGGTATTTTTGCAGGATTAGGTCCTCTGGTGAGGAACTGTAGTCCGGAGGTTTGGGGTCTGGAGGTTTGGGGTCTGGCAAAGCAAGTATTGGAACAGTCTCTAACACAGCAGGCTGAATTAAAGAAGCTGAAGGTTGTGTGGGCAATGCAGCCATAGAGATATTTTTGGTGATAAAGAGCCCATGGCGTAACGAACCTTGCACCATGCATTTAAAATCCGAACACCTATGCTGGGGTGCCCATGAAAATGTGCCCCAATCTTGTCCCAAAGTTTTAATTCCCAAGTCCCATCTGCAGGAAACCAGGGGAATGCTCTTCAATAGCCAGAATGAGCTGGATTAAATCACCATCCGGAACTTCCAATTTGTTGGAGGAGAGGAGAAATTTTAAGTCTTTTAAAAATTTCTGTTGGGGAGCAGACAAAGAGCTGCCCATTTTTCTAAAATCAATATATAAAATAAGGGATTGGAACTCACCGGGATCTTTTTAAGATGAATAGCGCTTGAAACCCTGGCCGGGCGTAGTGAGCCGATGATATCCTTTGCTAGGATCGATAAACCTCACACGGTTTCCTTTTAAAATCCTCAGTCTGCCTCAGACTGTTTTCTTTAAGTTGCCTCTTCTTAGTCCTCAGACGTATTCTTTTATTCAGCCTCACACGGGGCACCACTTGTCGGAGCCAGCCGTACAAATGGCGAAGTTTAGCATAAAATTATGACACAGAGAGCCAGCAATATTTTCATGATGGTAGGAGCAGCTCCCTTTTCCTCCCTCTCCTCCTGCAGTTCTTTATTCCTTTGTCCTCTCTCCAGCCGCATGGCTGTTTGCCAGTGTCTCACGTTACCTCATCCGGTCAAGGCTTTTATTGCCCCCTTCACCATATAAGGTTAATCACTGCCCAGAGGAAACACAGCTCCAATACATTCCAATACATTGTAAAGCTCAGAGTGCTGGTCAGCCAAGGTCAGGGGGCACCCTGCAATATTACAAGCCTTTACCGTGGCTTTATGACTCCCACATGTTTAATAGGTTATTGTATTTTAATATTCTGTTGGAAGCCGCCCAGAGTGGCTGGGGAAACCCAGCCAGATGGGCGGGGTATAAATAAATTATTATTATTATTATTATTAGTCATTAAAAAACTTCCCTAAACAGGGAAACAATAAAGAGACATTGCACATACTTTTGTAAACCAAGAAATCTTTAATAAAAAAGATGTTTTAAAAAATGGGGGGGTGGGAATGCCAGGGCTTCATGATACACCTGTGTGTAATATTTCATATACCCCAGTGCTGTTAAACCTAAGGCACCATCTGTGAGTCTGGATCTGCATCCGCACAATATAATTGCCACCTTATTTTGCCACAAACACCCAGTATAGATGTGGTGTTGAATTTGGCCTTGACTGCCACAACGGTTATACAGTATCAAACATTTGTATTGGTTGAAAGTCCTTTTCTGCCCAGAAACCATTCTATGCTAGACATTAATATCTGCCTCTGTTAAGCCTTTTCATGTGCTGTGTAATGTACTGGAATTTCTTCAGATTGCCCTAGAGAAATATAATTCTTCTTTTCTCTCTCTCTCCTTTCTCCTCCCTTTTAGTTTATCTATGATGAGAAAATTGTATGGTAAGCTGTGGTTCTTATTTCTTGCACATGGATTGAAGATTAGAATGTAACCTTGTCTTAAGTATTTTAGGCCATATGACAAGAGAGAGACCCCTGGCTTGAGCCCATTCTGTCACTGCAATGCCGATGATTGAAATAAGTGAATGGTTAGTCAGGGTGAAGGGGCAGGTGAAGGTCACGTAGCATTAGATAAATGAATAAAGTGATGCTACAGTGTTTCAGGGAAGTCTTTGCTGAAGAAAGGTGTCTCAAGAGAGGGAAATGGTTTGGCAAGCAGAGTGGCAGAGGCTGTTAGACCTAGAGAACGCCAGTTCAGAAGGTAACAACAGAGAAAATGGAGCTGAAAGCAGAAAGGATGGCATGAGAAGAGGCTAAAGAGATGAAAGTCCCAACAAGCCAAAAAAAGTAATTATGAACAAATTGGGATCCGAACTTCCAAATAATGCAGATAATGAGACGAGGTGCAAAGGGAAAGGGGGAGCAAAGAGCTTTTGCCCATGACAATAGTTAGTTTAGTTAGCTTATTAAATTTATGAATTGCTTCCCGTAACAAAAAGCCCCGAAGAGGCAAATCTGTTTTCATGAACGATGGGAGCCCTGCATGCACAAAAGGCAGAAAATAATTGCTCACAGTGGTATCAGTGGTGCTTTCCCAAGAAAAGTATGCTTTGTGGCCTAGTGACAGCACTGCTAATTGCACTTAGTACTTTACTAATTTCCTTCTTTTTATTTCTTTGAGGTGGGAAAGTCTTGTGCTCATCATTATGTATTCGTTCTATATACTTATCATGAAGTAAGTACTTTTCTTTTCTCCCACTGATCTTTAATTGTGTTTGGCTATTGTTAATCTGGGGATGCATTGTGATTTAATGCATGCCTAATGATTACTCAGATAAGATCACCTTTTCCTTTTATTGCTGTAACATTCCCCAGGTTGGATAGATTTTTGTCTGGATATATATTGTGTGCAAAAAAGCACAGAGAGTTAGTAGTTTGGCCCTGTGGAGGCTGCCGTGGTATTGAAGGGAGTTGCAACTAAGAAGAAATACTGCTGTGGAAAGTGGGTTTCTTGTTGTCTCCTTAAGCTAACCAAACCCTCCCCTCCAAATCTACTCCAAATGATTGCTGGTAGGGGTGGGGAAGAAATTTGATTCAGTTTGCAGTTGAAGGCAAATCTATCCAATTCTGAAACAAATGGAAACTTAAAAACAGCCATCCTTTGACATTTACACTTCTCTGAAATATGCAATGCAGTTTTCCAGCCATCCACTCTGTACAAATATGCACAACAAGCTGCTATGGAAATATGGAAAACTGAACCTAAGACTGGAAAAATGAGAAGCTGAGAGGAACCAGAACTGATGGATTCACCCATTCTAAGTTAGGGGACCCTCTAGGACAGCATGGGAGGTGGTTTGGTGTGGAGTGTGGACTGCAAGGGGGAAGGGGATTTGGTAAAAATGGCCTCCTGGGCTGTTCCATTGATGAAAGGCATCCTCTAGATCAAAGAACCTTTCATCAGTGGAAGGAGTGGATGGCGCTGTGGTCTAAACCACTGAGCCTCTTGGGATTTCTGATTGGTCCCATTGCTCAGTCCCAGTTCCTGCCAACCTAGGAGTTCGAAAGCATGGCAATGCAAGTAGATAAATAGGTACCGCTGTGGTGGGAAGCTAAACAGCGTTTCCATGCACTCTGGCACTCATCAAGGTGTCCTGTTGCACCAGAAGCAGTTTAGTCCTGCTGGCCACATGACCTGGAAAGTTGTCTGTGGACAAATGCTGGCTCCCTTGGCCTGAAGCGAGATGAGTGCCACACCCCGTAGTTGCCTTTGACTGGACTTAGCCATCCAGGGGTCCTTTCCCTTTTACTTATTTTTACTATTAGATATAACCCAGTATAAGTAAATACATGACTTGCAGTAGGAGAAAGGTTTGATCTTGAGAAAGATCAAAAGTGTGATGTGTATGGGAGATGTTCTCTCTCTTTCTTTTGTTGCTGTTCATCTTTTTCATTTCATAGAGCAGAAGTAGACAATGGTCATGTTTGCTTGCCATGTTGAACAATAGTTAATGGTTTGCCATGATCACACATAAAAGGGCTCTGTGCTACCCACTCGCATGCAGAGAAAGCAAACCGTTATTCTTGGCTTCACATTACATCTGAACCAGGGATTGTGCCTTGTTTGAGGGAAGGCTCTTAGCCCAGTAGTAGAGTAGCTGCTTTGGATGCAGAAGGTCCCAGGTTCAATTCTGCTGCACCTCCAGTTAGGACTGGAACTGGGAGAGAACCTTGTCTGAAATGTGAGGAGCTGCTATAGGAAGTTAGTAATAGTGGTGTTCATGTAGCAATGCACCATGTATATTACATAGCTTTTATACCTGTGTAATATACACAGTTGTTGCATGCATACCTTTTGTTTGTATGTGTACCCATAAAAAACATGAGTCATGATCCAGCTGAAGCATATGTACTTTTAGACCCCATTGCATTTAGCGGGAGATATATAGGCATGCTCTTATTTCTGCACTTAAAAATCAATGCTGTGTAAAATTGATTAATTTTGGCTGGATCACGGCCAAAGTGTATTGCATTCATCATCCAGTGATGTTCCCTGGGTGGCCTTTGGCAAATAGCTGTGTCTCAACCTACCCTTTTCACAGTGGTAACAAGCACTGGGAAAGTGCCATAGAAAAGATTGCTGGAAGTCAACTATCTGCCATTAGAATGTTAGCATTTTTCTCCCTCTATCCATCTAGGTACAATGTGAAGATGCAGAAATTCTTTACTATCAAAAGCATGAATGTTGGCAATGGCAACACTGTCAACAGCGAACTGGAAGATGGTAATGAATCTTTTGACATTAGCTGTGATGACCCTTCATTGCCATTGCTGTGGAAAGGTAAGGCTAAGCAGACAGGAGCTGGACAAAAGCTTGATGAGAAATATTTTTCTCTGATAGTGTTTCTCCATACATTGACAACTGGCACCTGCAACAAAATGTTGTGATGGGGAACACTCCTCTTTTCTGCCCCAAGTCATCCAGCCATGCTCTCCTTCATGACAGGGCATTCTGTTCCATTTTTATGTCCTGGTCCTTGCCCAAGAGCCAATCACCATTCTGTAGCAACTGAGTATGCTCAGTTTTCAACTGGGCTGTTTTGATGTGGGTGGTTGTGGGTGTGTGAGAGAGAAACAAAATAAAAAATTCCTTCCAGTAGCACCTTAGATACTTAGTATATGAAGAAGTGTGCATACACACGAAAGCTCATACCAATAGCAAACTTAGTTGGTCTCTAAGGTGCTACTGGAAGGAATTTTTTTATTTTGTTTCAACTACGGCAGACCAACACGGCTACCTACCTGTAACTAGAACTGGAGAGAGAGAGAGAGGGGCAGGCAGGCGGTTTTGGCTCCAGGAACAATGGTACTCATGCCTGAACATCAGAAATAGAGGGTAAGTTAGGCAGCTCCCACATTATATAATATTTTCCAGTTCTTTCTTTTTTTCTTTCACTACTCTCTGAGAATTGTAGCTAATGTTAGCCCTACTCAGAGTAGACCCACTGAAATCAATGGACATGACTAATTTAGGTTTATGAATTTTAGTGGGTCTGGTTAGTGGGATGCAACCCAATCACATCTGACCCAGCTAAGCCTTTTCAAAATTACCCCAGCGCAAGGGCAAGGAGCCCTTTTCAGCCCGAAGGCCATGCTCAGTTGTAGGGAAGCTTCCAGGGTCCTCATGCCAGTGTTGGGCATGGCCAGAATCAAAAGGGAGTGGAGCAATGGATGCGACTCTTGCAGTTGTATGGTAGGCTACCTGCCAGATATGCAGAACTCAAGACTTCATGCACCCACATATATCAGATATATCTCTTCATCACCCACCTAGCTAGCAGGTCAATTCCAGCCAAGCAAAAGCACTCGAGCATGGCTTGTGAGGGGCATGTACTAGGAAGGGAATACAGCCTAAGGAGAATTCAGAGATGCTGGGATGGCCACATGGAGCCCCAAAGATCGAGTGGGGTGGAGGGTTATCCACCTTTGCCCTAGCACACGTCTTCACATGATGCTAACACGGATCATAATGTCTGTGCCTGCAGCTTTGCTGTGGTTTATTTATTTATTTAAGATTATTAATAGACCACTCTTCAAGTGAAAGCCTCTCGGAATGGTTCACACCAATTTAAATCAACAATCAAGTCAATAGAAGGTACAATATAACCAGCATGGACCAACCAGTGACGGAAACAAAAGATAGATTAAAACAAGTAATGCGAGCTGCACAAACTAGGAATACCTGTGTGAATAAAAAAGGTCTTTAGCTGCTGCTGAAAAGAGAGATTTTGCACCAGGCAATTCTCTCTTTGCACCTGGCAAGCATTCCAAAGTTGGGCCACTGGAAGGGAGAATGCCCTATATCACCCGTCTTGTTGGCATTCTTGCTCTCAGGTTCGGCCACACTTCTAGTGATGCACCTCAAGATTCCCACAGGTGCTTATTGGCTACTCTTGGAATCTCAGGCTTATTTCTTGAATGGAAGCTGGTTCACAGGCATGCTGTTTCTTCCCTGACTGACATGCCCTTGTGGCCACATAGATCATTCATGCAGATACATGCTCCCAGATGTATTATATATAGCACCGCCTTGGGACTTAGGATAGCATTGTTTTTCATGCTGCATTCTGGAGGACCCTGGAGAACATCAGTAATAGGAGACAGTCATCTCTAAAAGACAGCTTAGCAATGTACAGCTACAGCAGAGCATTTTATATATTCCAGGAGGCCATGCCCTCAATTTGTACAGAGCCTCAAAAAGGCCCAACATGCCTGGCAACGGCTCTCTTGCACCTAAGAACATGCAAAAGACTCGTTTGCAACATGCTGGGGTTCTGGTGCAGGTGTGCAGGGATCCCTTGACAACTCCATATGAATGGTGGAAAGCCTGGAAACTATTTTAATAAGGCACCAAACAGAATTCAGCATTAATGTGTGGCCGCTGAGTGAGGAACAGCAGGAAAACTGAAGCATCCATAAGAGTGCTGGATTCCAGTGTGGAGCAAGTGTTCTGGCACTTTGGTATCATGTTGTGTCCTCAGAAGCAATTACTGGCACCCAGCTGTGCCAAGATATGCTGCCTTTCACAGGCTTGTCTGTGAAGTTACCAGCAATTCCTGAGTGGGAAAGTAACAGCCAAGTGACTGGTGCATTAGGTGGTACTACAAAGTGTTTGAATTTTTGAAGCAGACATTGAGAGATGGCTCTCACCATATACAGACAGTCTCAACACTTGTAGGAAGAAAAGTAGGCATTTTTTTAAAAAACTGTTTAGAAAAGGAACTGCATCTTTTTCTTTCCTTCTCCCCCACCACCTTCCTTTTCCTGTTTAAACTAATGCTGCATGGAAGACTATATTTCTGACCCTGTTTTTTTGATCCTGAAAGATTTCCATATCATCTATCTATCTATCTATCTATCTATCATCTATCTATCTATTTATCTATCTATCATCTATCTATCTATCTATCTATCTATCTCCTCCTCTTTACGGAAAAGAAAAGCTTTCACACAACAGTTATCGTTAGCTTTTTCAGTAAGGGTTCAAGCAGTGAGAATGCCAAGAGGTCTGCTCTTAGTTTTTGTCTTCCTTGCTTCGGTTTTGCTGTAATTTTTTTCACTCAAGGGGGAATGTTAATACAGCGTGAGTATCCATCTAGCATTGTCCTTTGTAAGAGCACTGTGCAAACTGAGCCAGAATGAAGCTTTTTGCCATGTTAAAGCTGCACAATAGCTTGCCTTCATTTGACCTCCCCTCTGCACAACTAACTGCCTCCAGGCAGCCTTTTTGCTGCTAGCTGAAATATGCCACATCTTTCTGTTGCCCTGGCTGCTGAAACATGCCCTACTTGTAGCTTTGAGCACAGCCTCCAGCAAAGCTGCCCAGGTCCTTTGGTTAACACCTCTCTTGGGTCAGTGGGGCTCAGATCTCACCTTAATCTTCTCCAGCGTATGAGTGCAAGGTCTGATTATTTTCTAACAAAGAACACCTGCTCTCTACCCAATGCATTCTACATCCTGATGGTGGGAATTCTATTACTTGAGGGTGCAGATAAAAGGGAGGTTCACAGACTGCTGAGCGGCCTTTGAAGCTTGTAACTTTTATTGCTTCCAAGAGCTTCGACTGGAAAAACATAAAAGCTTCTATTACTGGATTCTCATATATAGAGAGCTTTTCACCCAGAGGAAAATCCAATTTCAGAGACAAGCCTTCTACGCAAGAAGAGAAGATTTGTACCTTTGCTGCTAATGCCCATGTTTTGACAGTAATAACATGGTGGCTGGACCCCCTGGTTTTTATTGTGATGGTCCACAGATTGGCTTTGATTTCTAGCTAGTCAATAGAAACCCCATAGTGATTAAATACGTTAGGGCATGGGATTGTGTGGAATAGAGGTCAGCTGCTTCAACAACTTATTCACATTCCAGAGGGTGGCATTTATCTTTTTCGGCAAAAACAACACAGAGATGTGTGGCACTCCATAAGATTAACAGACTTGTTGTACCATAGATTTCCCTGGGCTAGAGCCCACTTTGTCTGATACAACTTACCCAAAACAATTGGGGCAGTGGTTCCCAAACTCCAGCACCACCCATGGACCACTTGAAAATTGCTGAGGCTCTTGGCAGACCACTTAATGATGTTTCTGCCCATTGTACCTATTGTAATTTCTTATATTGTATTACAATCTGAATTCTAAGAAATGAAAGAAGCAATAAAAGTACAATAAAAAATCAATTTGAATATTCAGTGCTATAGATGTGCAATCGCCCACCTTTAACCACAAATCTGCAGACACTCTGCAGACCACCTGGATGAAGCTGGTGGACCACTGATGGTCCACAGACCACAGTTTGGAAATCCCTGGACCAGGGTGCTCAGAAGGAAAAAGGACAGGACTTCTACCTATTTGATAATTATGCAGAAGAGGACATTATATATTTTTGTATCACTTTTACCAGAAGTAATTCTCGTTTCCCCTGCCCCACTTTACTCTAGAAGCTTGTAGCTACCCATTGCAGATGCTTGCTTCCTTCTGGAGAATGACCTCCTAGATAGGACTACTTCAGGGTATACTGCAGCTTACCTCTTAGTGGAACAGCCAAGGGATAAAATGCAATATATGCTCAACACTCTACTCAACCTTGAAACCTGTGTTGCAGTGTACCGTGTGGTGAATCCACTTGAGACTGCAGCGAGTTGGTGGAAACAACGGCATTGTTCTCCCAGGTCCCAACTCCACTCACGGAGGCAGCACATTTGTTCCCCCAGCCTGGCTTGGCTATAAATGCTTATGGGTCAGGTCTGGGTCTTTTCTTTAAGCAATGGACAGATTCTTTCCCCCATTCCCATCTACAAAACTCTTCAAATACATTCCAAGCCTCAGCACATCCCATCCTCTTTGCCTGTTCACCAGTCTCTGTGCCTGCCTGTCCTTCAGCTCTCCCCTCTAGGCTTTCCCATCTTCTCCACCTGAGAAGTTCCATCTCATCCTGCTGAGATTTATGCAAGCAGCACCCTGGTTTCCTTGGTACCCATGGCTTGGTGCTGATGTATAATCTCAAGGGGCAAAGAGAATCAGTTTGAAGCAACAGAGCCAGAGGACTTGCTACAAGCAGAAGAGTAATGTGCTGTGTTTGCAGTTAAGCTGCAGTTGGTGATGGAGGAGGAATATGATTCAGGTTGCATTTAAATGAAAACTTGTTTAATTTGCACTTTCCAAAACAGTACAAGGACTGAAACACAGCCATCTTTCGAATTTCATATATGTCTGAAATTTGCAGCGCACTTCTCCAGCCAAGTAATGTGTACAAAAATGCATTTACTAGGATACAGTGTACATAAAAATACATATATCAGTCAAAATAACATTCAAAAATGCATTATGCTAGTGAAAACTGCTTGGTAAAAATGTGCACATTAGGGGAAATGTTTGTAAAATGTGTGTGTTAGGAGAAATTTGCAATACAATGCTGGTGAGTTTTCATGAGGACTTTTAAGAAAATTGCAAACTGATGTGCAAGGAACTTAAGATTGGAAAAATGAGAAACTGAAACTGAGAGAAGCTAAAATTGACAGATTCGTCCAGCCACAGCCAAGTCTTCCTGGGTCCAGGACCTTGATGCCTCTATACATATAATACAGCCTCCATCCTTGTATATCCTCCCAGGTACTTCAATGCTCATTCCTCAGTCTCATTGGGGCTCCTCAAGCAAGTTCCGTAGCAACTGCATTGATGCTTCTGTGTTGCTTTTAATAATGTGCTTCACCCGAGAGAGGCTTCCTTAGTAAGATTAGCTCTTTAAAAAATGTCATGACTTCTTATTCCACTAAAATCCAGCGATAAGCATCTGTGGCTGTCTCTTGCTCTTGATAATAATCATACTTAATGGCACTTAGTACTCCTGTAGCACTTTTGCCTAAGTGCTCAAGTGCTTCTCATAGATTATTCTCAGTAATGCCTGCAACAATTCCATTAGATAGATAGAACAATATTTCCATCCTTATTAAAGGTATTGTGGCTAAAGCTAAGGTAGTGGCATGCCTAAGGCCATCTATGTTAAGTTCACGGCTCAGCTGGCATTTGAACCAGGCCATTCCAGCTCATATATTCTGGTTTAACCATCTGAGGGGAGACTTTCACACTGGAGGTGAACCTTTGGACCTCTGGATGTTGAACTGCTGAACTGCAACTCCCATCAGCCCCTACAAGCATGGGCAATGGTGAGGGAAGATGAGAGTTGTAGTTCAGACTTATAGGTTCTCCACACTGTCTTTAACCAGCTTCCTGAAGATTAAGAGTACCATGCATAAGCTGCAGCCTTCCAGCACCTACGGCAGTCATTGTGCTCGATCCAGACTGAGTGAGTTGTAGTTAATTCCCCACTGAAATTAATGGGGCTTTACGCAGTCATGACTAGTGCTGCCTCCAGGTTTTGGAGGCCATTGGGCAAGACACCCTCCAGGAGCACTCCTCTATTAGTAAACATAGCTCTTCACTTCAGCAGGTTAAGGTTGACGCCGGATACCTGGCTATGCTGACCCTTGATAGGCATGACTAACTTTCAGTGCAGCCCGGGTTCAGTTAAACCTATGTGCAGCACAAAGGTGTAGTTTTTCTCAGTCCAGAGTCGTTCATGCTAATCCTCAACATGCTGCTTTCAGTCTTGATTAATTCTACATCTTACCTTCCACAAAGTTACTTGATACAGTGGACGCTCGGGTTGCGAATGTGATCCGTGCAGGATGCATGTTCGCAACCCGCAGCGGCGTGTCTGTGCACACGCGGGTTGCGATTTGGCACTTCTGTGCATGCGCAAAGCGCGATTTAGCGCTTCTGTGCATGCGCGACCTTCGAAACCCGGAAGCAACCCATTCCAGTATTTTCGGTGGGTCTGTAACCTGAAAAAACACAACTTGAAGTGTCTGTAACCCGAGGTATGACTGTACACATTTGAAAACCCATCCCTTGGTTAGGTTACCCGCACCTTTTGCTTCCTACACATGCCTTGGGTGAATGAAGGAGGTGGGAATCCTGGTATATGCCCACTCACCATGTCATTGGGCAGGTGTAGACACACACACACACACACACAATCGCTGGGACCACCTACATCTGTTTTCAAATGAATACACTGGGGGCCCCAGTTCAGTACAGAATTGTGTGAGCAGGGGGCAGGGACCCGTCATCTGAGCTCAGCCTTGAGAGATGCTTCAGGTGATAGCCTGATACAGTCTGAAACTAAATGTTAGTTTTGACCCCTTCCCCACCTCTCTCACCGGTCTTCATCTGTTTTAGATAACAGGCATGTGATCACCAGGTTTGAGATTTTTCTGAGGGTTCTTCTGTTATTCTTTTGTTTGAGTTGAATGTTTTCACTGATCTCCAGTGCTTTTGAACTGAAATTCTACACTAATGACTCATTTGTTTATTTCATTTTCCTGTTGACTAAATTTTCCTGTTCCTGCTAATGTAAGTAACCTGCTGTAAATGTATATGTATATATTTATCCAACTTGATAAGTGAGGCAATAAAGAATGGTATTGCCCCTCCATTCTTTCCCTTCCCCATTGTCCACATCCCCTTTTTCTCTGGGGTTAATATTTTACTTCATTGCAATGTGTTTTCTAACACCACATGTCTCCTGTCTGCTAAGCCTTGCTACACTTGCTATGTCCAGCTGGTTGCATTTGTTGTTAATACTTGCATGCATTTATTATGTGTTCCTTTTATTAATTCTCAGGGCTGCATGTCCCCCTGACCCCTCTGGTTTAGTAACAGAGTTAAGGATAGCTTAAAGCTCCCATTTATATATAAATTGTCGCAATTCCTTTGAAACAAGTCTTTGCTAAGCAGCACAGTAACCTGAAAAGTTACAGTGAAGACAAAAGCACCTTCTAAAACCATAGTTGAGGCTGAAAGGATTAAATCATTTGGTTGCTAGGGCAATGAACTGGCTACAAACTTGCTCATTCTTTTGTTGAATAGTAATACTCATTTTTGAGGAGCTGTCTTCTCTGTCTCAGCAGTGATTGACACTTTAGTGTTATTATTGGGTTGGACCCACTATGTGTGTGCAGAACTACTCCCACACTACTCTCCATGTTGTCCTGCTGACAGAAATGGGGGAGGGGATTTTCAGATATTCCCCTCCTTTCCCCTTGCAGCCCCCTGTGTCCCCTAAAAATCTCTGCTCAAGTGTTGGGGGACAATCTAGGAACAGCATGGGAGTTGGCACTGAGAGCAATGGGCAGAAGGTGTAATTAGTGAATATTGCCTCCTGGGAAAGGGCAAGTCTGAATCCAACCTGTTATAAGGAGTTATTTATTATGATGGTGCATATTCCAGACAAGTTATGCACTTTTAAGGCCTATTAATTCTGATGGCAGAGAGGTGAGCACATGCTAACTGTTTCTGTTAAGATCAATGAGATGGAACTTGGGATAGATTGTAGCCTTGATTATAAATTTACCATGTGAAATTTAGTAGGTGCTATACAATAAGATTACGTTATAACAGACAAATTATTAAGCAGTTGATTAAATTAATGAAGGAGACTCGTGGGTCAAGGTGAAGTGCAAAGGGGAAACCTGTCTGTTTCCACACATACCCAATCTCTTTCCACACAACTGCAGCATAAAATGGCATTGTTGACGTACTACCTAATTTTGCTGATTTACGATTTTTAAGGCTCCAGGTGACATTACGCTTCTGCAACCTATAAAAGCCATTAAGGGGCAAGTAAGGGCAGAGGCAGGCACAGAAAAGGAAGCAGATTGTATAGCTAACCATTGGCATTGTGGTCAATAGTGAAGGGAACGCAACAGTATGGCCGAAACTCCGTTGTGATGGTCGATGAGATCATTTGTTCCAGTCCTCCAAAATATCGTTTCCCTGAAGCTGGCTTGCGAATAATGATTACAAACAAATTTGGGCCGAGAACCAGGCTACGGATGGCAAGCAGGATTATTATTAATGAGGTGAGTCTGCAAGGGCGGGAATAATTAAAGCGCTTACTCAATCATCTTTTTATTTTTCGCAATTCATTTCATCACTGTTATGTATTGTTTGTGCAGCGGTCAATGTATATGATGGTTTACGGAATAATTTATTTGGAAAGTACTTTGCCCAAAGGCATTCACAATCTACTAAAGTTTTACAGCAAGAAGGGAATTGGAAAGAGGAGGGATAGGGGCGAAAAAGGGAACGAGGGAACAAATGCATGTAATTTGTTGTGGTTCCATATTTCATTGTCTGAAATACTCCTTCACACAAGCTGCAGTCCTGAAATACTTCTTCACACATGGATGTGGTAGCAGCCACCACCTTAGGTAGCTTTTTAAAAGGCATTAGATAAATCTGTAAGGGAAAGCTCTATCAGTGAATATTAGCTGCAAAGGTGTACAGAACCTTTCTGTCCAGAGGCAGTATCTGGGGAGCAGCAATGGGAGACTGCTCTTGCCTTGACAGAAGCATTCAGCTGACCACAGTGTGGAAACAGGATGTTGGACTAGATCAGGGTGTCCCAAACATGGATCTCCAGCTGTTTTTGGACTACAGTTCCCATCATACCTGACCACTGGTCCTGCTAGTAAGGGATGGTGGGAGCTGTAGTCGCAAAAAGCAGCTGGAGACTCGAGTTTGGGAAACCCTGCACTAGATTAACCTTTTGTCATATCCAGCAAGCCTATTTGTATTTTTGTGTGGTTAAGAATGAAGATGTGTGACAGCTTAAGCAAGCAATGACTTCATAAGGTAAAGGTAAAGGGACCCCTGACCATTAGGTCCAGTCGTGGCCGACTCTGGAGTTGCGGTGCTCATCTCGCTTTATTGGCCGAGAGAGCCGGCGTACAGCTTCCGGGTCATGTGGCCAGCATGACTAAGCTGCTTCTGGTGAACCAGAGCAGTGCACAGAAACGCTGTTTACCTTCCTGCCAGAGCGGTACCTATTTATCTATTTGCACTTGACGTGCTTTCGAAATGCTAGGTTGGCAGGAGCAGGGACCGAGCAACAGGAGCTCACCCTGTCGCAGGGATTCGAACCGCCAACCTTCTGATCGGCAAGTCCTAGGCTCTGTGGTTTAACTCACAGTGCCACCCGTGTCCCTTTGAACGACTTCATAGGTAATACTTAACTGGATTTGGGCTCTTGTTTCCAGTGATAATGTCTAGGCTCATTGTTTCTGACCATTGGCCACTTGCCAACAACATCTGGCGAGCCGCTGGCTCCCTACCCCTGGTCTAGGCAAGATGAACAGGAGGGCATTTTAAAGTGCACTTCTAGTGATGGCAAAAATATGGTCCAGATGAAGATAGGCAGCTATTCTGATTTCTTGTTAACCTAGATGCCCTTTTTGTAGCATACAGAAGATCCCATCTCACTGTATTTATTTAAAAAATAGTAGTTCACTTTTCCTCCAAAGGCAGCATGCATGATTCTCTCCCCTTTTCACTCATATTTTATCCTCAAAACAACCCTGTGAGGGTAAGTTAGGCTGAGATAGTGACCTTCATGATTGTAAGGGAGTTTTGAACCTGAGTCTCCCCAGTTCTTGTCTGAGACTTTACTGTAGGCGTATTAAATATTCTTCTCTCTCTATTTTATCAATGTGCTACCCCTCCAGTTATTGAGATATCTTTCTTTTCTGCATTTCCAATGTTCTATTGGAGCTCAAGGGAAGGAATAAATTTTATGGTTCTTGATATTATTTATGTTGATGCAAGAGGAAAACTTATATAGAAATAACTTTGGCAGCAGCATTTCATATATATCAACACGATTTTCAGTCTGAAAGAAAGAAGGCCACACATGTGCTGAAAATATGCCAGAGTAAATCTTTGGATCCAACCATAGAGGGCCAGAAATGGCTAACTGATGAATTCTAAAACCAGAATTGCCCAAAGATGACACGGAGGGAGGGAGTACTTTATGGCAAAATTATATAAACAAACAAAAACAAGTAAGATTAGGAAACACTCCAGAAATGGTGTATTCACTGGATTTGGTTCACATGTCTTCTAGCGCCAGCGACTAATTCATGCTGCCAATGGCAAGCTGATCCAGAATGGGAAGCATGAGAATATCGAAAATGGGGCCATCCATGTTGATAACCAAGAAGAGGAGCATGAACATACCAACCTGTCTCCTTTTTCACCACCAGGTAAATCTCAATTGTAATACAGAATGAATGGGTGAGCAAGATCGCTTTGCCCCATGGAACCAGCCATGGCATTCAGCTTCCAAACTATCACCACCACCCTCCAGCCAGCCGGTTCCTCTCACTTCCAGCTCTAAGAACATGAAAAGCTGGACCAGACCATTGGTCCATCTAGCTCAGCATTGTCTGCACTGACTAGCAGTGGCTCAGGCCAGGGTTTCACGCAAGGGTCTTTACCAGCACGACCTGGAGATGCTGGGTATTAAGCAAGGGTCCTTCTGCATCAAAAGCATGTGCTTTGCCACTGAGACCCAGCTCTTCTCCTTTTCCTTTGATCACCAGTTATGTCGTTTCCCCATTCTCCTACTCTGCTTTGTCTTCTTACTGGTTGGCCCAGCAAAAAGGAGAATAGGTATATTCAAGTTGCCTGCTTGGGTCGTCTACCATTTGGAGACTCCAGGGAGCGGGGTTCATTAACGTGTGCTCACCCAGGGGCCAGGGATAGTATGCAAGGCAAACTTTTCATCTGTACACAAGTGAATCTTGTACACATGTTTGGAATTGTTTGGCTGCAATAAAAGTAGTCTCCAAGTTATGATCTCAGTGAGTGAATATTTGGTCTCCTTAAAGTGAACTCGTATTCCTTATCAGCTTTATATTTCCAGAAACGATATCTTAGATTTGTTGCCATTGCAAGTGGTCTTAGTATTTTGGGTTAGGAAATGTGCACAAAGGGAATATCTGAATCACAAACTGATTTAAGAAACAACTCCTCTTCCCAGGCAGCCCAGGAAAGGGCAGTTATGTGAAGATGGCAAAGAGAATTCTCATCTTTCTCAGCAAACTAAAAAACACACACCACAGGATACTTTATAGGAAGCCAAAGCAGCTAAAGTGATATAGAATGCTTGTACATTTATGTGAAGACATGCCCCAGGGACTGATTGTGGCATATGGATGAGTCTTACGGGGTACATTCAGACTATTCCTGCAAATCCATGCTTCCTTCCTCAAGAATTGCAGGCTTCAGTTTCCCCCTCCCCTTTAAATGCTGAAGTTGCAATATTGTACCCACATGTCCCCTTCCTTGAAACTCCTTCAGATAAATTAGATGCAATTTGCTGTAGATTAAAAAAAGAGACCTTGAGAGGGGGAGGGTCATCAAATGGTTCAGATCACGGAAGTAGCTAGATCTTACATATACTGTACTCTACTGGTTTCCGTGGACCTCATCAGACGCCACAGGGTTCTTGGTTTTTTCTGCTGCAACATACCCACCGGGAAATTATTTTAATAGAGCGCCCGCAGCAAATTGTGCCCATTGGGTCAAATATCTATGCCTTCCACTTCCTGACTTTAATCAGACCCAGTTCATCCAGCCCTAAGAATAAATGACTGCTGTGAATTGTTATGAAGATACAAAACTTCTTCTAACCTTAAGGTTAGAAGAAATTGCTGACAACAGCTTAAAACCAATCTGTGGTTTTTGGCTATTGGTTTAGCTATGCTCCAAATTGTTTTCTATTCTCTGTGTTTCATTGGAAAACTCGTATAGTCTTTGATCTATATTCAGTATGTAGCAAGTGAATTACATTGCTCGTATCTTGTTAAGTCACTTTGAAACCTTTTCTTTTTTATATAAATTGACTGGCAAATGTAAATTATAGTCACAATCGTAATGGCTCTTCCCTCCTCTCCCCTTTTGGGATTTGTTTAGCTCCCTGAACTTCATCATCATCATTATTTTACCAGTCGCTGGTAACCAAAGGATGGGAGAGTTCTCTTGTTCTCTTGTCCTCAAATCCTGCTTGCTGGTTTCCCACAGGCTTCTGATTGGCCACTGTGAGAACCGTATGCAGGGCTTGATGAGCCATTGGTCTCATCCAGCAGGCTATATATATATATATATATATATATATATATATATATATATATGCAACCTGCATTTAATAATAATAATAATAATAATAATAATAATAAAAAGAGTGAGATAGAAATGAACAAACAGAACTTATTACATGCTGTAAGGCATAGTGGTTTGAATTAAGAATAGAACTGCTGGTTTAGCTACTAGCTTAATTTTAATTTGTTTATTCAGCTTCTTCTTTTTAAAGAACATCCCTTACAATAGTTGATGTACAGCCGACCGCACTGACCAGCAGCTCTTATGCTTCAGACTACAAAGGAGCAATGGATCAGTTAAGAATTCAAGGGTTTACATAAGAGCCCTGAAGACCTGTGGCATAAAATCATGAGGGTTTTTTTAGTATCTGTTCTTCTGCTGTTGAATTTTGTTGATATTCTAGGACTTCTGCATGCACAATGAGAATTCCTTTCCCTCTCCTCTCCCCATGTGCCCCCCCAAATCTGTTCTCTGTTTTCCACCAACCTTCTGGAAAAAAATTTGGGGTAGGGTAGGGACACATGGAGAGAGGAAAGGTAGAGGAGCTCCTGTTGTACAGGCAGAAGTCCTTGTGTTAACAAGATGACTTTGCAGGATACAACCCTGTATGTCTTTGGTCTGTAACATCTCAAGGCCAAACTACACATTCAAATTTCTGTAATGGTTTTGGTTTTTTTAATGAATAGTCATGGAAGGCCAGGGAGAGAGTATAGATCAGAACGTTGTCATAGAGGGAGGTTTTACCCTTTCTTCACATCAAGCTCATGATCCACCACAACTGTTCAAAAAGGGAGGAAAGCAAGCATTACCCGCCACCATCCTCCAAAGTGGCCCAGTCGCAAAACAGTTTTCACCACTGCAAGTTGTTGTTTTTAGGAAGAGACAGGGGTTTTCAGCTGTTCGGTTAGAAAGGCTACATGGCACAAGTGCAGAATTTGGCATGAAATCAACATTCAGGTGCCAGTGTTTGGGGGCTTATTTTAAGGCAAATATTGAGGTTTCCTGGCTTAATGAATTACAGTCATACCTCAGGTAGCTTCAGGATAAGTATTTTCGGGTTGCGCGCTGTGGCGACCCGGAAGTAACGGAGCGCGTTACTTCTGGGTTTCGCCGCTTGTGCATGTGCAGACGGTCAAAATGACGTCACGCGCATGCGCAGAAGCGGCAAATCGCTACCCGTGCATGCGCGGACGCTGGTTGCATTCGCTTCTGGATGCGAATGGGGCTCCGGAACGGACCCCGTTCGCATCCAGAGGTACCACTGTATTTATTGATAAGTTTAAGCAATGTGGGGATTGCCTTTTAAATTGTCCTCAGTGAAGGTTCTAGGGTAAGCAGTTTTCCTTCCCTAGTCTGTTCTACTCATTGTGATCCCAAGAGCAATTTGAAAGGTGCCTTGAACACCACTGGTAATCAGTGACAGAACTATTCCTGCTAGGCAATGTGGTGGAATTGACAGAGCATTAGACTAGGACTGGAGAGACTTGGATTCAAATCTCTGTTTGGGGCCTAACTCAAGCATCATGTCGGTGAAAAAGTGGACAGGGCTATACCTGCTGGAATCTCCTTGTTACAAAACTGTTGAAGCTGCAGGAGCCTTGTTGTATCTGGCCACTCTACCAGCATGACTGTGTCTTAGTTTGTTTTCACACTAGCATTTTCCCTGGTATTGACAGCACTAGTAAATGGCATGGTGGAGCAGAGGCACTTTGCCTGATCTCGTGGCAGGTGACTCATTGTTTCTTACCAGGAGGGTGAGGGTGGAGGCAGTGGGGAGGGCACCGCAGTGCAAACACAGTAGCCAGGAGCATTGCATTGACTCTGCTGATACATTTGCACCATGCTGCCACCTCATGCCTCCCCCTACAACGAAACTGCAGCAGTGCAGCTGACTGGAGGTCATGTCTCTCCATCCCACCATGCTACTGATTGCCAATCTTTCTCCACTAACTTTTACGGTGCATTCAAGCATTGTCAGCCCAGTGCATTATAGTATTTTCTGCTCAGATGTTTTGTCAGTTCTGAGTTCAGATGAATTAAAAAACCCCAGAAAAACCCACAACTGCAGCACCAACTATCTAGTGCAACAGACAAACTGCTTCATGGGTATGATCTGTTTTGTGGCTTCTTGTGGATCGAGGCTGAGGGGTTTTCCATTGCACAGGGCTTCCACTGACAGAACCCATTAACTGAATCCTGTCCAATAGGTTAACTGTTTTCTGTACATGCATACTAAAGGCCAAAGTAGACATGAGGCAAGAATGTGGTTGATAACGCTAATGTGGAGGGTGGAGCAGGGATCGGGGCCATGTTTTTGTTGGCATCTTATTTTATTCTGAACAGTTGCTGTAGTACCATATGGGCACCAATAAATTGCATGTTGGTATATTTTTAAAAAAATTATCAACGTGCCCACATTTTATGTTTAAGTACTGATATTCAAATTGCTCCTTTTCCCTTTCTTATTTTTCAGAAGGAAAAATGGACAAAGTCAAGTGGATTCTGACCTGGCCGCTGATAATCCTCCTCTTTTTCACCATCCCAAACTGCAGCAAACCACGATGGGAGAATTTTTTCATGCTGACGTTTCTCTTATCCACCCTGTGGATTGCTGTGTTTTCCTACTTTATGGTGTGGCTGGTGAGTGCAAAGACACTTTTTAACATGAAGATTTATTTTGAAATACAGTTCAGAATACAGGTTCCAGTAAGGAATAACTCCACATACCAACACAGGAGGTAGGGAATAGATGACGTGATAGAGGCACTATTGGCCATGATATGCACTCATCCTATTATCATCTCTGCTCACACAAACAGGGACATTTCTTTGTTGGGTTCAGTAACCTGCAAAACAAATTTGGCCAGCGAGAACAATGGGGCAAAAGCGTGTGTGTAATTGTAGGCATCTACATATTTACTATATAGTTTTGTAGCCTTAATTATATTTTATGGTCATTTGTTTTTTTAAAAACATAGGCAACTGAACTACCATCTTACCACCACCATTTAATTATTTTAAAACAAGTTTATGCATCACATTTTTATTTTGCATTTCCTCCAAGGAATGCACATACATTGTTCTCACTTGCTAATTTTACCTTCACAACAAGCCGTGAGGCATTTTGGACTGAGCTATGGTGGCTGGTCTGAGATCATCCAGGCATCTTCAGGGTTGAGTGGGGATTTGAACCTCAGTTTTCCCAGTTCTAGTCTTCTATAGTAGCTCAGGCCCAGGGGCCATATGAGGTCCTTTCAAGTCTCTACCCCACTCCTGGGACTCTCATCAGGCCAAGCCCCCTCTCCCCAGACCACAACACCTTACTCATCCTGCTCTGTGCCCTCCTCAAAAGGGCTTTAGCCCAGGGGAATGTGTCCTCGAACCATAACAATACTTCTTGCTTGTTTGGATGGAGACAGGTGTCTGTGTGTGTCTGTGAGTGTCTGTGAGTAAGCCTATGATTGGCTGGAAATTCCCCTAATGGGCAAAGGTAAGAGACACACACATTGTTCTGTGCACTTTTTACCTGCCCGCCTGCTGCAACCACCACACCACGTTGGGGGACCCATCTGCACTATACAGTTAAAGCACTGTTATGCTTCTTTAACAGTCATGGCTTTCCCCCAAAGCATCCTGGGAGCTGTAGTTTGGGTGTTGAGAGATGTTAGGAGACCCCTATTCCTCTCACAGAGCTACAATTCTCAGAGTTCCCTGGGGAAGAGGGATTGTTTGTTGAACCCCGTCTGGGAACTGTGGCTCTGTGAACAGGTTTCTCCTAACAACTCTCAGCACCCTTAACAAACTACACAGTTCCCAGCATGCTTTGGGGGAAGCCATGACTGTTCACAGTGGTATAATAGTACTTTAAATGTATGGTGGCCTGGCTTTCTATGGTTTTCCTGCTGTGTTAGATCAGCAGCGAAGAGTCGTGCCCGTTGGAGGAGAAATATATTGGTATTTAGGATAGAACCCAAGGGCTGCATAGTTGAACCATCCCAGGCAGCTTATGTACGGATTGCCACTTCACATGTTTTTTGATGCCTCACACAGGCGCTGGGAATGTCTCCCGCACAATTTCTATTAAATGAATGGGAGGTAGACAAAGGAACACACCACACAGCTCTCCTCTTGTGGATGATCCCTGTTATCTGCAAGTACCTTTTTGTTGTTGTTCTAGGTGGTTAGGCAAATTATTGCTGCAATTTAGTTCCATTTCTGAAATTCTCATGTTTGTGTGTTTGATTCACTTTAATTCCCACACACTTAAAGTATCCTGTGAGTCACAATTCTTATCGTGAACGCAGGGCCGCCAAAAAAGAGGCTTCTCTATTGTTTTCAACTCCTGTGTTTTCCTTTGTCGCGTAGGTTACAGTGATTGGTTACACTCTGGGGATCCCTGATGTTATCATGGGCATTACCTTCCTAGCTGCAGGAACCAGTGTGCCAGACTGTATGGCCAGTTTAATAGTAGCAAGACAAGGTATGGTCTGCATTGGTTTCAGGGAAATGGGGCGCGTGTTCTCGACACATTCAAGCAATTCTCTTGCGTGTGATATACACAAATGGGTTTGACCCTGTTTGAAAAGCAATGTGTGGCTAAAATAGGGTTGCAATGGTTAATTGCTTAGATTAATCAAATAAATACTTTTCATTAACTAAATAGGTGCTCTTGATTAATTGGGTAGCAGGTATATGCATACACTTGAGGAAAAGGACAGAATACCTCGTTTAAGATGTTGCTGGACACCTGCAGTTTTGTAGAAGTTAAAAATTACTGGTTCTGGTATGCATATGCAATTTTTTAACCAGTTTTTATAAGGTACCCCCCCTTTCATATAAGATCTCTGCTGCTATGCACATATTAGATCATCTAGAAAGAAAGGGGGGGTTCCATGTCATACTAAAACAAATGTTCAGTCAGTGCAACATTTCTGCTTCCCTGCTAGAATAACCTCCCCTCTCCTTCCCTTGCGTGCTGTTCTGGGGAAGTGGGTTCTCCCAGAAGTTAACTCTCCAGATGTTGTTGAGCTGCATCTCCCATCATCCCTATTAACCAATGATGCATGGGGCTGCTGGGAGCTGGAGTTCAACAACATCTGGAGGGCCACAGGTTTCCCATTTCTGATTGGGTTTTGTACTGGTCAAGGGAAGAAATCAATGGAGAGCCCTAGAATCCATGCTCAAATTTTTACTCCAACCTCAGAGTTAATGTGGCATATCTTAAATCAACTTTTTGACCTTTAAGTAGGTCTCTTAAATTTGAATCATCAGTCAAGAAAATAATTACAGCTGAAATAAAAAGTACTAGCTATTAGAATTAAGTGAATGTCATTGTATTAAGATACATGACTAAGGTGCCAAGGGTGTCACATAATCCTCCAAGATTTAGTCTTTGCATACCTTAGGACTACAAATATACTATGGTTTTGAACCAGTCCAGATGACATGGGACTCATTCCCACACTATGAGCTATGAAGACTGCTGTTTTCTAAACCTGGTGAACATTCTCAGAGAGATCCCTGGCCAGCACACAAACCTATAGCCCCCAAGGCCATGACAGCTAAGCCCATATAACCCTTCTTTGATAACAAGAGTTACTGTATCAGTCTGATTTGGGGGTGGGGGTCAAATGTACCAAGAGAAAACCATAAAAATAAAACATGCAAGAATGGTGATAAGCTTATTGCCTAAACATGACTTGTCCTCTCTACTTCTTGCTTGGTTGTAAAGACAGTCGTTGCATGAATAAATGTGCTTGTTTTAATTGTGAAATTATTCCCTTTTCAGGCTTAGGTGACATGGCAGTTTCCAATACAATTGGCAGCAATGTGTTTGACATTCTGGTGGGCCTCGGAGTGCCATGGGGCTTGCAGACGATGGTGGTTAATTACGGCTCATTTGTACGTATACAAACTTAGACATTCCTCATTAAACTTCTTGTTTCAGAAGCAGATACAGTTGAAAGACCATTATCTGGGCACTGCTTAGCTGAAATTCCTAGGTGTTCAAATTCACTGTGTGTCCAGTCCTCCAAAAATTCAGACACACACGAGAGAGAGAGAGAGAGAGAGAGAGAGAGAGAGAGAGAACACTGTACATAGATTCCATAATTTGATTTCTCCAACCCAGATCTTTCTTGACCAAGTACTTTGATCCCCTGCTATGACACCACTATAGTTTGGGGAGTTGGGCCTTGCAAGGCAGGGGTGGAGAACCATTGGCCCTCCAGTTGTTGTTGCGCTACAACTCACATCATTATCCCTGACAGTTGGCCATGAAGGGCCTTGATTAAGTAGCCCTGCTGGCAGGTGAAAAAATTGGCCACTTTTTCTCACTTCACATGGGCCAGCTGCCCAACTGGAAGTAGTGCCTTGACTGTTGCAAACTCCACAGTTACAATACATGTCCAATGAGTTCAGCCACACATAAAGCAGCAAGACAACCCAGAATCCTCCCCAATAATACAGAGGCATCTGCAGTGTCCTTCTGTTTATCATGGGTACCCAACAATAGGCCATAGAACAGCCGGTGGGCTGTGCCTGGCTTAAGGCACTGTGTAGCTCAATATAATGGGTGGTTCTACATGTTGAAGCTTCCCCAACTGCTACTGGTTTCTCATTTGTTAGTCTTCAGCTCCTGGTTTGATAGGATTGCTCCCTCTGCTGTTGCCAAAGATACAGCCTTATCCTCTCCTCACTTTGCCCAGTCAAAAGCACAGAAAGATCAGTGGCGGACTTTGGGCTCTGAAATTTCAGCAGCGCCCTGTGCCATGCTAAAATTTGGCACCCCTCCCTTGCCTCTCACGCTCCATTCTACATCATTGTTGTGGCACCCCCTGCAGCACTGGCGCCAAGTGTGGCAGAAGCAGTCCTGCTACCCTAAAACCACCTCTGCAGAGATGCATTACACTCCAGGTTCCTGTTTGGAGCTGGTTTTTGTTGTGGAAAATAATGTCTGATCACTGCTGCTCTCTGGTTCTTTAATCAGATCCTTTTCCGCTGATGTCCATAGCACAGTCCCCATTGACTTCAAATGAACAGAAAATTTCCTTTGTTTATACAGAACTAAACCTCGTTCATTATTTTTGCATGCACCATGTTACGTAGAAAACAGCAATTTGCTAGTTAGTGCGTCCTTGAGGTACAGTGGCATAGTTTTCAGCTGCATTTTTCTCCTTCTGATTTTCATAGGTCAAGATAAACAGCAAAGGTCTAGTCTATTCTGTCGTCCTTCTCCTGGGATCTGTAGCTCTTACTGTAAGTGTGTATTGTATTAGTCATTCTTTGCATCCAGTCAGTTTCATGTGGTACAGCTATATAATTTGAATGTGATGCCAGAAGCCAGGTTCTCCAGAGAACTTCACAATTCGTGTATTTTTAGATGCCAAAGCTTCATTGAAATCCATGAAATCTCAAGAGGTATATTTCCTTTATATTTTAGGTAACACTAAAGGCAGCTGCAAATCTCTCCTGACTAGAGCAACATGCTGTCATGTTTCAAGGCTGTCATTCAGTTAAATAAATCCTAATTGATTGATCACATGAACTGTAGTTAGTCAGTTAAATTTCCAGACATGTTTTAATTTAAGATAAATAATGGTTCTGAAGTGATGATGATGATGATATACTTCCTTTGGGTTTTATCCAGCATTGCAGAATCTGTATCATGGGCTAGGTATTGACCAAGGTCCATACCACAACAGGTGACCCCCCTCCAAGCCCTATCTCTCTGCATATCCTCCTCCTCTGCCGCCACTTTTGTACCCTTTTTATGCGAGTGAGCATTGGACAAGATGCTCCCCTTCTGCTCCCATCCTGCTGTTTGTGTACTGCAAAGCTTCACTCAGAAACCCCTGACAGTCTCTCATCCGCTACTGGTATGTGTGGAGTAAAAAATCCTCATGACATCAGAATGCATGGATGCCAGTTTCCTTGTGCAGTGATTGAAATACAAATTTAGAAAGGTCCTTTGAGGCTGAAGCGTTTGTTTCCTCCAATACTTGTTTAACTCATGCATCATATTCTTGCAGGTTGGCGGGATCCATATAAACAAATGGAAACTTGACAAGAAACTGGGCATCTACGTGCTCGTCCTTTACGCCGTTTTCTTGTGCTTCTCGATACTGATAGAGTTTAACGTCTTCACTTTTGTCAACTTTCCAATGTGCCGAGAAGATGACTGAAAGAAACCGCCCTCGGATGTCATCTATATCGTTGTGCTATAAATGACAGGAGACATTTTACATTTCTACCTGCTTCTTATCCAAAATCTCAGTGTCTTTCCTGCTTCATCACCTTACAGACACTTTTCCTCTACTTGGAAAGAAAGCAGATGCTTCTTTGAATAACAAGCTCAAGGCAACCAAAGCATTTCCCTCTTGCTCCTCTTTGCCATGGATCTCAAGCAAAACTTGCAAAAGCCCAGTGGTATCCTGTTTCAGGCTCATTTAGGCAGTCAACCATCCATCAACATTCATATGAAGCTTGTTGCGGGCAGGGGGTGGGGACATACCTTCCTTTGGCTTTCCAAATAAGAGGAAAGAGAAAAGGCCGAGATTTTATCTTGGGTCCTTGGAAGCATCTTGGCCATGGCCTCTAATGGACTTAGTATGGCATGCACTACTAAGGACCTCCTATTTGCCCCCCCCCTTTCAAGTGCTCTGTTTATAGAGAACTTTCACTGACGCTGAGGAGTCATTGGTGGTGTTCAGTAGTACTTTGTCACCCTGTTTTTACTTTTTTATTTTATTTTTTAAAAGAAAGGTGTGAAAGATACAGCAACAGTAAGAGAAGGAAAAGGATAATACAGCGCTACTGATGATGTACTCTGAAAATATTGGTACCTAAAATGGGGCTGTCCATACTTGAAAATAGCAACAACACATTGAACTGCAATCAGTGAGGAACAATTGCAAATATAAAGCTTGACTATACATGGAATATTAAGCTTACAAGTCAAAATGTTGTGCCAGCACCAAGTAAGTGTAACCCCTAATTTTAGAGGAAAACTGAAAACTGAAATCCTGGGTGCTCAGTCACTAATTGTGAAGGTAATCATCTGAAGAAGAAGAAGAAAAAAGTCAGTCTAATCCACATGCCTTCCAGGTCTTCATAGGTGCACTGTGGATTTGGAGGTCTTTAACATATTCGTAATAGATGTAGCTGCTCTAAAAGTTGTTGCACAACCCCTGGTTTGTTGTTGTTCTGCTGTTGGGGCTCGTCTCCACCGTCCTGAAGGTGGACTGAAATTTCAGCTGCGTCTCTTTAAGTGCCCAGTGGAAATGGCCGTGCAACCGCTTTGCCACATGCTCAAGCTTTTCTTTTTCAAACAGGCTCGTGTTTTAGCAAAAGGTTTGAGGGGGGGACTGGGCAGTAGGATCATGGTAAAAGACCTGTTACCCTGCTTTGAAAAACTGGGACCTGAGCACACAGTGGAATAATTGTGGGGCACTGCATGGTGTGCGCAGGTAGACATTATTAATCATGCCCTGCACATTTGAACCCATTTTTGGGCACAGCCTGCGCTTTGTTAGCATTGTGATCATTATTGGCTAAGAGTGGCGAGACTAATTGGTGCCCCGTATCTGCTGAGTTTGGCAAGCAGCACCACAGTCCCAGTCCAGTGAAAAAACTTAGAAACATTGGGGGGGGGGTGATATCAATTGAGAACCCTTAAATCCAAGCACATGGGCAGTTTCATGGAGGAAAGCAAGGGTCCCAGCTATTTCCCTGCTTGATTGCTTTGCTGCCATCCACTGCTCAGCACTTTGCAGACTAAATTCTCTCTCACCAAGGCTGCATCTGCACCATACCTTTTAAACACTCTTATGCTACTTTAACAGCATGACTTTCCCCCTCCCAATTTTTTTGGGGGGGAACTGTAGCTTGTTAAGAGTCTTGAGAGTTGTGATGAGGCCCCTATTCTTCACAAAGGGTTACAATTCCCACAGTTCGCTGGGCAGTGAGATGCAGTGGCAGAGGAAGTTGGGTGCGTGGGGGTGGGTCGCCATGGGTGTCACCACTGAAGGGGGTGACAAAATGCCATGCGGCACTCACTGAGGGGCCTGCAGTGCGCCCGAGCCATGTGTCGCTCCTGGGAGAGATGCGGCGGCTTGGGCGCGCGCAGGCTCCGCTCTGCCCAAACGGTCTGCCCGCTGCCTCCCCCCGGCTGTAGTGCGGCTGAGTGGGAGGAGGCAGGCAGACTCCAGAGGCCCCGTGGTGCGCCCCGCCCCTATGGGTGGCTCGCCCCACCTCTGGGCATGCCGCCCCAGGCACCCAAGAGGCTTCCTCTGCCGCTGGTGAGATGAACTGTTAAACTACCCTGGGAATTGTAGCTCTATGAAGGGAACATAGGGCTTCTAACAACTCTCAGCACCCTTAAAAAAAGAGTTCCCAGAATTCTTTGGGGGAAGGTATGACTGTTTAAAGTAGTACAATAGTGCTTTAAATGTATGCTGCCAATATGGCCCAAGTGCACTCTGAGAATTTATATTAGTTCAATCTGCATCCAAGAGGTGTTTGTTTGTTTGTTTTGCAAATCATGACTGACTTGGCAGTGGAGTTAAGAATCATAGCCCCCTAGAACCACAACCTGGTTTCCATTTCTCACCAGCATAGATCACAAATAAAATAAGTGTAAGGTTGTTGGGTTTTTGTTTTTCATGGGGGGGATGTGACCAAGAGTAGAATACCTCTTTCAGCCTGTATTTGCTCTTCTTGTATAAGCAAGGAGATGCACATCTCCAGCATGTTGAGGTGCACTACTTGTACGCGCATCTAGAGCTTGTGTCTAGATCGTGTAAGGGAAACGCAAAAGGCCCCACTTTAGACCTTTAAGGAGAAGCACAAAACACGAAGCGCAAGCCGCTTATACATAGGAATGTTGGAAGCTGCCTTATACTGAGTCAGGCCATTGCTCCATCTAGCTCAGTGTTGTCTACACCAGGCATAGGCAAACTCGGCCCTCCAGATGTTTTGGGACTACAACTCCCATGATCCCTAGCTAACAGGACCAATGATCAGGGATGATGGGAGTTGTAGTCCGAAAACATCTGGAGGGCCAAGTTTGCCTATGCCTGGGCTACACTGACTGGCAGCAGCTCTCCAGGATTTCAGACAGGGATCTCTCCCAGCTCTTCCCAGAGCTGCCAGGGGGTTTGAACCTGGGACCTTATGCATGTAACACAGGTGCTTTGCTACTGAGCCACAGCACTTCCTGATTACATCTGGGGTAGTTCACCTTGGCTACATGGAATGCTGAAACGCTGATCCCACCAAGATTCACCCCAAAAACATTTATTATTTTAATTACCATTCCTTGACTCCAAAATAACGAAAATTTACGCTGGTAAATGCAGTTTCTACAGAAGCACAAGTTATCTTTATAAATAGCTTTTTTATTTTTTTAATGTACATTGCTAAATAAAATATATTGGATAGCTAAAAGATTTTGTGAATTAAAGAAAAAGAAATTAAATATATTTTTGCATGCTCAGCTATTTGGCAGAATTCCTGCACTAATTGTATCAGTGACAGAATACTATATACTCCATGGCAGGAGGCAAGCAGGGCTTCTCACAAGGGACTTTTAAACTGCTTGAATTATTACTCACAGATCTTTGGTGATGCCACTAACCTTCCTGCTGTCTATCATTCTCACTGTTCACAACTCAAGTTTTTTTGCACTGTAAAGGTCCACACAACAACCCCCACCCCCCACTAAATAGGATTCTCTTTTCCCTTTCACCCATCCATTTTAGCCCATGCTAGCCCAATTCACAATGACCTTAGAGGAACTTCTGGAAAGGAAGGAAAGAAAAAATTATGCATTAAAAGCCTGCCCTCAAATTTCAGTGTACAACTCCATGGGAAAGTAGAATAGTGTGTTCCACATAGAGCTTTTCTGCTCACAGGAAACATTTTGAAACGCATCAAGATTGCAATGCAGATTTAAATCTCTCTCTCCCCCCCCCCCCATTTCCCTCTCTTACAGGCTAGTTCTCCTGTGCATGTTTCATCACCTGGTGTACATCAGGTTTAAGTGAACCATGAGGGATAGAACTTCCATAATGCTTCTCCTTAGACACAAGATTTCTCAAGGCAATTGAATCTCACAGGGCTGTTTCACACATTACATAGAGGCAAGTCTGGGTTTGCCAAAGTGTTGTACACTCAGCAGAGTCCTGGCCCTCTGCTGAGCGTATGATAGAAAACATATTTGCATACATGTAGCTTGTGTAGTATCCTAAATGTGTTTCCATGCATTCACAGGTGATTTCCAGCTGGTCCCCTAAAAATGTGTGAGCTGGCTCAGCATCCAAGCGTTCCGTTATCAGATTACGTGCATGCATGTCTGAATCAGCCCACATCCATACAAGCAGCAGGAAGAAGCTTAAACGCCCTGCTAGAGCCGCTTGTGGAAAAGTCTGCTGTAGGCCGTCTCCTGCACGCATGAATCACTCAAATTGCGCAGAACTGCTGATCCCTTTCAATGCAAATATGTGCACAGGAAATTCATTATACTGTACTGGGAAGTGTGCTGTAAATAGGAATTATTATTTTCAAACAGATCACTTCATTTTTAATTGGTGTGAGGAATTCATTGCTCATTTTGAACCTTAGTTTTATGCAAAGGGAGAAACGTACTACTTAATCTTCTTTTGTCTTTCATGATGAATATCAGTGTTGACCTAAGCTGGCACGCGAATCCCAAGAATCAGCTTCAGCTGCCCCTAGTGCATCAGAAAAGTTGAAACTGAGGCTGAAACACATGAGGGTGTGTGTGTAGAGAGATGCCATACTCTGCCCCATATACCTGGGGGACGTGGGTACAGGCAAATGCTTGTGTGTTCTTTTCTGCCTCTAAAGCAGGGTTTCCCAAATTTGGGTCTCCAGCTGTTTTTGGACTACAGTTCCCATCATCCCTGGCCGCTGGTCCTGCTAGCTAGGGATGATGGGAGTTGTAGTCCAAAAACAGCCGGAGACCCAAATTTGGGAAAACCCTGCTATAGAGCCAATGAACATCCCTTTACATGCTGCTTAAGGTGGCTTCTTGCCATTCTCTGCCCTTGTGCCCCAGCCCAATGGGACCATGGCAAAGAATAAGTGGAAGAGCATCACTGATTCTGCAATGATTGCCCCTGGGATGGTGCTCTTGTGCTAGAGCAAGGGAACAAGATGTCCCCGCAAGCTGACAGTATGCTCATGCTGCTGCCTAACTGTGGGCGCTTATCGGATGAGGCTTTTAAGTCTCTGATTGGATTAGCCCGTCCAAAGGATACCAATAGGATAAGGAAGGTTTGCTTATATGTTAGGTAGGCCTGATCTGTATAGGACAACCTTGAAGCATTCAGGTGTCTTTGAGTTATGGCATCAGAGGGAACATCTGTATAATATATAAGCCAGAGTATATGCTAAAAGCACTTTCTTCCTATTCTAGGAATGCCATAATCTAAGGTAAGACCCAGAAGTAAAGACAAATGATTCAGGAAGAGGCATTATGTTCTTGTACTGTTCCCTCATCACCCCAGAAAAGGAATGGTCTATATATGCCTAATAATTCCCTTCCCTTTTGCTTGTGGGCCCAAGAGACATAAACTCCAGCCACAGCTCTCATTTCATGGCAGACTGGAAATTGCCTGCCATGAGTCTGGATTTGGATTCCAAAACCCCACAACCCCTAGATCCTGAATTTTGTTCAGTTTGTTATTTTTATTGCTGGTTATTTTTCAACAGAATGATACTTATACTCTCACCCTGATAAAAGGTTTATTCTATGCGGTATTTGATTATACTGCATTCTATGTGAGTACACACACGCAACTACATGATCTGACAAAAATGCATATAGGATGGCAATGGTTATTTATGTTGAAGAGTCCCATAATGTAGTTAATCCATATGCAAAGCCCATAGAATTAAAGCCATGCAAACAAAGTGAGTCTCCTATCTCCCAAGATTTCTTACATTCTTTTTGGGGGGAGGGGGAGGGGGGAAGAATCTCTTAAGTTGGTCTCAAACTTGTGCCTTGTGTTTGCTCCTGAAACAGATTCACTCGTGTGGTCTGAAGAGAGAATACAACTACTAATGTATTTTGGGGTGCAGGGCAGGGGGAATTCCAAACGTTACTGGAATTCCAGTAATGATGCGTTTAAGCTGTGTTTATTGGGGGAAGCTGAGTAAGTTTTAGATTGTGGATGAAAGAAAAGGCTCTCTACTCTGATACCAAAGTGGCCAATAGATTAAACATGAAAATATTTCTTTATTTGGGAACGTATGCTGCAAAAAAAGAGAGAGTACAAGATGGATGAATTTTGCCATAAAGCACCGAATTCCCCAAAAGCTGATACTGTGTTAGTTTTATTATGTTAGCTGCTCTGAGCCCGGCTCCAGCCAGGGAGGGCGGGGTACAAATAAAATTCTATTATTATTATTCACAAACCAGCAGTACATAGGTGTCTTATACACTATGAGCCACTGAACTAGCAAATGTATATGACGATTCGCACGACTGCTACCCCAGTACACTCCCACAATCCCTGACACTTTGTGAGCAGTCCCAGGAAGTTGTACTGGTACTGTACAGTTTCTCAGTGCAGCTAGCAAGTTCTCAGTGCAGCTAGCAACTATGAGTAGTAGCAGTGACAATATACGAAATGGTTGTGTCACAGATTCAAAATGGTTGTATCTGTGCAGCATTCAAAAGGCATTTTTAGGCTTGTTGTTCTAGAATCTAGGGACATGACTGTAGCTTTGAGTGTGATGAGCAGAGTCAAAGGTTTCGTTTCACAGCTCGCCAAAGCACACAGCCCTTCCAGCTTTATTTATTTATTTTGGAGGGGGAGTTATGAACAGGAGGGGGGGCAGAAAGGGGCTTGCATATTCTTAGGAAGGAAGGGAAGTGTTGCCCTCACTCTGAATTGGCTTTATGACATCATAATGTCACCACATTTGATTGGCTCTGTGGCATCATGCAGTGCAGCCCTTAGCTGGCCAGGTCATACTTCCAAGTAGATAGAGACTAAATAAAATAATATAAAAGATAACAGAGAAGCAGACTGCAGAAACTAGCAGTTACCCTCAAGCAGCAAATAAGTGGTTTTGATAACATATTGGTTCCCACTCACCCCCAAAAGTCTCTTTTCATGGGCCAACCTTTTTGATATGCAAGTACTTGAATGTTTAGTTAAATGTTGTGGTTTGAGACCTACTTAGGAAGCTAACAGTATGATCCTAAACTCTTTATTTAGTAGTAAATCCTATAAATTGAATTGAGATTTACAACACAACCCTATGCATGCTTTATTCTAAAGTAACTTCAGTGGGGTTTAATCCCTGGTAAGTGGGCTTAGAACCTCAGCTCAAAATCCATGCCAGCGTACTTAGGATAGCAGCCTGTTACTTGCTTTTGTCACAATTTATATAGCCTTTCTATATCAGACTACATACTGCTCTTTCTCCACTTCTGAACTGATCCATCTTACCCTGTTTTTACTCTGTCTTAAATGAAAAATGAGTCCTGTGCAGGTCTGTGAGTCATACTAAATATTCCATGCGTGTTTACTCAGAAGCAAGTCCCATTATCTTCAATAGAGCTTACTTCCTAGCCCAATAAGCACGTTTAGGATTACAATTGATTAAATATGAAACTGCTGCTACATTCACTGGGGTGTGAGATGCTTATAGGAATCAGTTCCTCTAAAAGATCTTTGATAGCTAAATGCTTGATAAACCACTGAGAAAACTGGATGCAAAGCAGTTCCTTACTGTACCTTTCTCGGAGACTTGAAAGTGGTTTAAAAGAGGGGTCATGGCTTGCAGTGTGTCTTCTGACTTCTGCGCCCAGTAAGCAGGTTTTGCCTCATTTGGGGTTTGTTTGTTGTTCTTTAAAAGTCATGCAAAACTTGCTTATTTACTTATTTGGGGGTTTATATATCCCGCCTTTCATACTAACCTCAAGGCAGCTAACTCCTCCAAAAATCATACAACATACATTGACCAGCAACAAAAGTGGGACACAAGAAATTTGTGTGTGCAATAAGGGGAGGTAAAGCAGTGCTCTCTTTCAAACCACTTTCAATTCTCTTTCAAAAACTATTGCGTTTCCAGCTTTCTGCAGCTCTCTCAAAAGAGCACGGCAGAGTAGAATGTAGTATGGCTGTTGGGTTTTCGTTTTTTGCAATGTCCCTGATCCTGCAGTGGGAATCTGCACTTC